ACAACCCACGTTAGGCGGAACCTGTTGTCGTTTATTACGCGCTGGCCATCTACGAACGAAAACGGAGTGAGATGAGGACGTTTCGATGTCCGCCGTACCCGGGGCAATCGCGTTTATGTTCCAGGGAAGCCGATACCCATGAAAAGCTATTCAAACAACCCCCGCCACTTGCCATCTTAAAACCGGCACTATCATATCCCTATTGCAAGAACGCGAAATCCTCCTACAATAATTGGTGGCCTCCCAGTCCGTTTCCGCCTAAACACTTCGGGCCTCCCCTTCTTCGTACCTTCCCCTTGTTGCTGAGCCGACAAACCCAACCTTTATCTTGATCTAGAATAGCATCTTTGTCAACTGGCCCTTTATCTCATCAGGCCTTCAGCATATTGGCGAAAACCGTCGATCGATAAAGACAAACAAACGCCCCCCGATAACACTCCCTGGATGCGCGACCCGTTGAACCTGACTCTATCACAACCTCGCCAGAGCAGTTGGAGTCTACAAGGATCGAACGCTTTTCACCTCCACCCCTCTAGCGACGAGATATATCCTGACAGCCGGCGCCCCCAGACTTCGGTCACTCTGGATTACTATGGCACAGTCTTCTGCTCTGGCCGACCAGTCTTGCCGATTTGCTCTTCCGGACGGTCCCTTGCTTCCTCTGTTGGCGCTCCCATGCTCCCGACGGCCCCACCTCTGCGCATCGTGCTGACGGCCCGCCGTATTCAAAACGGGCTAGCCCAGCCTCAGCCCACGTTTCCGTGGTCACCGACGGGCCTCTGCCTTTACCTCGCTGCAGCCTCGGGGGATCCGGATCTGTGACATTAACGCTCAATGGCTCCAACTACACCTACCTCGCCGAAATCGCCCCTCGACATCGTTACTGCCTGCGATCTACAAGCCCAAGCAGGCGAATGCCTTGTGGGATTCCCGTCCGCACTTCTCTACCATCGCGATACGCCGCCTACCTGCTCATCCACATCGGGGTTGGATTCATCCCGCTCACCGTCATCCGGGAGGGCCCTGCGGAATCGGCTCCGTCCAGCTCTACGTTGACCACAACCCCAAGGATAACTACTCAAACCATTATTACCGCGAGGAATCACGAGTTGCGACGCTGCCAGCTACGCGCCATCTGCCTGCTTCGACTGTTTGCCAACAAAACCGACCGCAAGCCTGAACACGTCCTCCGCGCTCCCGGACGACAAAGCTGTTGGCAAATCGACCACTGCCCTCACCTTCCCACCCGATACAAATCCGCACCTCCATCTGGGACTCTCCACCGCAACCCATACCAACCGATAAACATCTCCTGGAAACTGTCGTGGCTCTGCGGACAGCTGTTGCCGCCCACTGTTGACTGGCCGAACTGCTACCCTCATGGAATGCCTGCGAGGCCACGGGCTCTGACGCAGCGCTGAATGGTGCTCCAGGATGGAACCTATCCGGGCCTCCCCGGATATCGTCCGACGGCGACGCCGGGGCTAACTTCCCCCGCCAGCACCCTTATCGAATTGTTCCAGTTCTCCTCATGATGGTGTCCTCCGCCCGAAGATCCAGTTGACGGTGTAATGGTGAGGGTCAGACGGTGTACTCCCCCGACGCGCTGGCCGCCGCCAGCCAATGGCGAGTCTTCAATTGCACGCACTCCTTTTGCTTCCCAGGCCGATCAGCCCCCGCCGCCTTGATGTAAGATGTCCCGGGCCGGCTTGCCATTTTCAATGTCGTCTTCCGCCCCGCAAACCGGGAATGCCCGGCAAGCCCATCACCGACATCTCAGTTTCACCATTCCCCAGGGATGACGATTCCACCCGCGGTGGCCAGGCCCCACCGCTGTGCTTCCGCGATCATCGCTCACCCCTCACTCCCTGCCGTGCACCAGGTCCCAAGCGCAAGCACTTCCCTAACCACCCTCGTTTGTAGCCGCCAACAATTCCGCCGTCGTCTCCGGTATCCCCCCAGTTCCTCACCCGCCCCAGTTCTCCTCGACCGTCCGGCCCAGCAGGTAACGGTTGTTCCCTCTTCGTAATCGGCGCTGCCCCCCCCGCACCGTTCCACCATCACTTTCACCGCCCTTGTGAAACAAGCGGCTCACTGTCCACCAGCACCCCACCAGTCTAAACAAATACCCTTGTATCCAGGCATCGCATTCCTCCTCCGGTTTGTGCCGCGAAGATATATCTTCCAGCGCGCGTGAATCGTGCCCGCCCTCCTGCACCCCTGTAGTGTGCCGAGTTAATCAGGTTTCCTATCGGGAACACTTCGTTCCTGCGAAAGCATAAACCCAAAGATCCCGGCGCCCCCGAGAAACGTGAGACCATCACTATTTGCCGGATCCTGCTTTCGCCGGTATGACGGTTTTTGATGGCTTTGCACTGATGATCGTTTGGGGCAGATTTTTTGTTAAACTTGACCCCAGCCATTAGGGTAGTTCGACAATGGCGGCACCGGTAGTCCCGCACGAATGTTGGGGCGCTTGGCCGCCCGTTGCTGACAGGCTAAGGGTGACGGGATGCCGGATGTTATGGCGGCGCGGGGAGTTGCGTTTCGGCAAACGCGAACGTAGCGGCGGCATCATCATGCCGGCTTTACGGCGCGCCGGCGCCTGCGGGTGTTTTCCCGTAGAAATTGACGTGAAGCTGCTCGACGGCGTTGAAGAACGCTAGAAATCCTGGTTGCCGGTGCTCTGGGCGAGGCTTCTTGCTATTCCTTTTCAGCTTGTGTGGCTGCGGTGTAGGCTCCTGGCGGTGTCAGACTCTCGCATAACCTAATATTTGGGCGAAACCGCTCCCCAAGCTTTTTCGAGGCCTGCCTGAGGTCTCCGGAACTTGGAACTCGGCGTTGGCCTGTTGTAGCAGTGCTGGGCGGGCCTGTTCGGTAGGTGGCGGTGGTCAATTGCGTTCTCCGCGGCCTTATCCGATTCCGCGGCTCAGATCGTGGCCCATGCGTTGGATGAAATCGCCGGTAAGCTGACCCTTTCTGTGAGGTCTTCGGAGTCGAGCGGGCTCAATGAAGGTATCTGGGTCGAGGGCCCCCACAGCGCTGGGCGAAAGGGTGAAGATCGTCGGTCCTTTGGATCCGGAGGCTGAATTGCAGGACCGGTTTTCGGCCGGCGTCTGCTCAGGGTCTAGCTGCACGTTCAACTGAGGGCTGCTGCCTTCGATGACGTTGGGGCGGCTTGCCATGCTTTGGACGCCTCGGCCTGCTGTCCGGCTTGGGATGCGCCCGGATGCTTCACTACTGTGGAAACGCTTTTGGAACGGTCCTTGAGTTTTCGTATGGTTGTCATGGTGACGCCTCTCTATTTTGGGAGACATGCTACGTAAGCCGAGGCTTTGATTGTGCAAGAAGGTATCTGCTGTCAACGCATCGTGCGTCCTTTCAGAATGTTCTGAAGCATCTTTCCTGCGTTGATGGCGACCTGCGCGGGGCGATTTGCGGGGGCGGGTAAGCGCAGCCTGTCCTCTTGGGGGTATTTTTGTTCAGAGTTTCGGTCGTTTAGCCTCAAATCCTCATTTTTTTGTGCAAATCCGTCGTTTGTGTTGACCGCCACCCTCGAATCTGAACATTTACGGCCCCCTATCATTAGGCATGAAGCATTATTACGCCTTGAAAATTGCCAACAAAACTTTCACCCGCAAATCCCATCATATTCCTCCCAATCGCCCCTCCAAATGACGTCCTGTTAATGTGGCACCGCGCCCCTGCCAAACCATTCGCATCCATCGTTAATGTCGCCTCTTATCCAAAACACGCCGCACACCACCCGGACTATTCACCCGATGAATTTCGGCAACTGCACCGCCGGTGGTACCGAATCGCCGATCCCCCGAGTCACCTGTCCCCCGAAAACTTCACGGCAACCGTAGCCATCCGACGCCAGACGCCACACCAAGGCACCTAGCACGATCCCCCACGTCCAGCCTTAAAGGACCCCCACCATCCCGGTCACTTCGGCCGCCACGCCCGCCAGCGTCCCAGCAGGTCCTCTCCGGCCGCGCAGACCAATGGAACTGCCGCTCATTGGGCTGCGACCGCTCTCACCCGCACCTTCCAGCAGATTCTCCACCAACATCACACACCAGAACCCACCGCGCCACGCGGCCTTCGCGGCCCGGCTGCTCCAGCGCCGTCAATGGCGGACCGTGACGCCACCGTCAACCCCGGCGTCAATGATCTGCACGTCATCTCCAAATCCAGGCCACTCCTCCCTGCTTTGCGTTACCAGACCACCGGCACGTTCAGCTGACGGATCGTTGCACGCAGCTGCGAGCCCACATCGCGTCGCAACTCCATGTCCAGCGCGGCGAACGGCTCGTCCAGACAGCAGCAGTGCGCGGACGGACCAGTGCCCGGGCCAGCGCGGCCCCTGCTGTTGCCCTCCCGACAACTGCCAGACTCGCCGTTCCTCCAGCCCTCCAGCCGTAGTCTTTCGACCAATCCCATCACCCGTTGGCGCGTGGCTGCGCTTCGCCGCTCCTTCAGGCCGTAGGCGATGTTCTGCCGCACGGGTCAGGTGCGGGAAAAGATGATTCTGCTGTGTGACATACCGACGCTCCGGTCGGTGCGGCTCAACCGACTACCTGCGGTTCTATCTCTCGGCTCTGGTCCTCTGCATATACCGCCGGCCGCGTGACGATGTCGGTCCGCGTCTGGCCGAACCAGTCCGGCTATTGGTGCGCTAAGCTGCGCCGTGGTCTTGCCGCTCCCGATGGCCCGAAGAGCACCAGATCTGCCCGGCATCCACTTCAAACGCAGCTCCATGCGAAACCCCCAAGTTGACCGCAACACCGGCCGAAGCGCCGCCGCAATGCTGCCATCACTCATAATGCTTGCCGATCACTCATGGTGTGTTCCGATCACTCATGTGGTTCCCGATCTTTCATGCCGTGCTCTCCGTTTCGCCGCAGCAGGAAGCTCAACGCCGCCAGCGCCACCCGGATAATCGCCACCATAAACCGACAGTTGCCGCCGCCGCCCCAGGCTCGACTCCATGGCGGTCATGTCGCCAGCGGCATGGTCTGCGTGCGCCCCGACAGGTTCCCGGCGAACATGATCGTCGCGCCGAACTCCGACACCGCCCGCGCCACGCCAGCGTCAGTCCGGTCAGCAGCGACGGGCCACGCCACCGGCAGCGTCAGCCGCCAGAACGTCGCCCACGGCGAAACCCCCAGGGTCTGCGACACTTCCTCGTAGGTCGGATCAACCCCGGCGAACCCAATGCGCGCTGCCCGGATGTAGAAGGGCGCGGCCACGAATACCTGCGCGAAGATCACGCCGCAGTGGTGAACGGCAACGTCACTCCCGCGGCGGAAGCGCCGGGCCCAGCAATCCGTTCCGCCCGAAGGCCATGAGCATCGCCACGCCGGCCACCACCGGCGGCAGCACGATGGGCAGCTCGACGAAGGTGTCGATCACCCGTACACCGTCGACCGCCTCCGGGCCAGCAGCAGGCAAAGGGCGTTCCACACTACTACGACTACCATGCTCACGAGGCTCGTCACGACGGTCAGGCGCAGCGCCTGAACCACCAACCCTCCCGTCAGTCCGCCAGGACACCCTCCTGCTGTCCCGCCCGCACCAGCAGCGCCACGATGGGCAGCCCGATGAACAGCACATAGATGACCGTCGCCGCGACGCCCGCGGGGCCAGCGCTCCCGTGACGCGCCTTGGCCGTATCCGTTTTCGCGGGCGTGTCCGAAACAGCCGGCTGAACATACGTCTAGGTACGGCCGCCGCGCGGTTTTGCCCGGCTGGCTGTGCCGGCACAGGGCAGGCCACGTTGACCGGCGGCGCAAAACCGTATTTCCCGTAGGATGGTCTGCCCCGCCGTCGCTCTGCACGAAAGCGATGAAGTCCAGCGCGATCTGCAAGTCGGCGGCTCCCGCCAGCGCCGCGATGGGATACTCGGCCGCCGGGTTGAATTGCAGCGGAATCTCGATCACGCGAAACGACTCGGCGTACTGCGCGCCCTCCGCATCGGTCTCGTAGACTATGCCGGCGTCCACCTCACCCAGCGCCACCTTTTGCGCCACTCCGCGCACGTTGGTCTCGTTGGTCACCACGTTGACCCTGAACCCGCTCGGCGAATTCGACGGGTACTCTCTCTCGACGTCCGCCATCAGGTCGAGCGTGGCGCGGGGTGTACGCGCCGGTCGGGTCACTTCCGCGGATGCGACTGCGCATGCTCACCCCCGCGTGCGCCAGGTCGGTCAGGCTCTCACCGCGCCCGATGTGACCGGCGTCACCACCCGCCAATCGGTTGGTGGCGAAGTATTCCGGTGCATTCCCAGGAGGTTTGCCTTCCTCACCGCTGCCATCTGCCCCAGTCGGCCGACGCGAACACGTCCGCCCGCGCTCCGTGCTCCAGTTGGGTGCGCAACGCCTGGCTCCCCCGCCGAAGTTGAATGTTACCCGGAGGCCGGGATGGTCAGCCTCGAAGGCCGCTGCAAGGGCGCGGAACGACTCTGCCAGCGACGCCGCGGCGGAACACGGTCAGCGTGCCCGCCGGCGCGTCTTCTCCCGTGGCCGCGCCGGCGCACCCGACGGCCGCAAACCGCCACTGCCACCACTGCCACTGACAGCGCCAGAAAACGGAGATCATCTGACCAGTGGGTCCTAGCCGGTTACCCATAGACGTGAATTATAGCAACGGCCCCCTCACCCGTACCCACTTTGCCCAATCGCTCATTGCAAGCAACCCACCGGTCATAGCGAGCCACCCCCTGTCATAGCGAACGCCCCCTGGTCATAGCGAACGCCCCCTCCCGTCATTGCGAGCGCAGCGCGGCAATCTCGTCGCCGCAGGAATCCTCGCTCAATTCAACGAGATCCCCACCGCGCTGCGCCTCTCGCGATGACAAACCGGGTACGGTAAGCAACGGCCCCGCCTTGACTTGCCACAGGCGCTGCCGTTAAATGGCCCAACGGCGGCACGGGCGCCCACAGCCCGCCGCCTTCCCCTAGACAGACCAATCGACCGTTCAGGAGGTCACAATATGGCTCTCGTTCGTTGCGTTACCGAAATGGGTATGGGCGTGGATGTTCACGGCCTGGATTACACCCTCGCGGCCAAGCGGGCCGTATTCGACGCCATCCACCACAGCAGCCTCGGCTTTTCCCGCCTGGTGGGCGCCACCGCCGACGATATGACGGTCAACGTGACCATCGGCGCGCCCCACCCCGAGAAGGTCAACGCCGATGAGGTGGCCGACTCCCTGCCCCATGGCCGCGCCAACGTGGACGTCGTCGTGGGCGGCCTGCAACTCCTCAACGATGACGGCAGCGACGGCACCCTCATTGCCAACGCCATCATCACCGTCAGCATCGAAGACGGCAAGTAGCCGGCGAACCGTCGCCTCGTGCCATCCTCGTCTCTTCCCCCGCCCGACCGGTCTCTTCCCCCGCCCGGACCGTCTCTTCTCCCGGAGGAAGCCAGCCGCATCTGCATGAAGGAGTGCCGCGGCATGTGCTGTCGCGGCCCCATCATCCTGCGGCTGGACCCGGACGAGGTAGCCGGTTTCTACCGGCTGGCCGCCGGGCTGGGTACGGAAGCCAGGGTCAACCGCACCTCCGACGGCGGCGGCAACGTGCTGTTCCTGGATCAGGCCGCGGAATGCTGCCCGATGCTTGACTCCGCCACATCCGCTTGCCGGATCTACGACCACCGCCCCCGCGTCTGCCGGGAGTTCCCTCGCAAACGCGAACCCGGCTGCGCCATCTCCGAGTGGATCACGCCGCCACCGGAACCCGACCAAACACCGTAGATGCCACCTTCTCCACGAAGTTTCGCCCCATCGCCTGGTAACCCTCGGCGTCCGGATGCAGGTCGTCGGGCAGCATGTGGGCCATCTCCGGGCCGAAAAGTTCCAATCCGTCCACGTAGTGGAGGTTCCGGTCACCGTGACCCTGAAGTAGCGTGACTGCTTCGGCGGCTTCCGCGCGCATGGCCGACAGGGTGAACCCGACGGGGTTTTCCGTGTTCTCTCGCCACGCCGAGTAGATCGGTGAGATTACGGCCAGCGGCGTGTCCGGGTGCTTCTCGCGCAGCGTGTGCACAAACCCAATGATGGCCGGCATGAAAGTACGCCGCCCGATGCTGGCCGCGTTGTACACGTTGATGCCCACCTTCATCGTCAGATAGTCCGCCGGCAGGTCCCGCATCATCCGCGCCACCATCGGCTCCAGGTGGCACCCTCCGCCATAGCCCAGGCAGGTCAGGTTGAGGTCGCACGCCCTGGCCGCCACCGCCGGCCAGGTCAGGCTGGGACTCGCGGCGGTCCGGCAGTGGGTGATGGAACTGCCGTAGGCGACCCAGCGCGGCCTTCGGTCGTCGTATGGTTCCAGCGTTGCCCCGTCGGACAACTCCAGCCCGCAAAGCCGGAACTCGCCATGCTGCGGCAGCCACAACTCCACCAGCTTTTCTCCGGCCGGCAGTCCATCAAACCGGAAACCGTCCCGACCCTCCAGCACAGCCGAGCCATGAACCTTACCCTCGCAATAAAGGTCTATGGGACTGGATTCCGCCGCCGCCACAACCGAGCCGGCCACCGTCTCCGTGTCGCTCCGAAAAGAAATCCGCACGCCGGCCGGCATTGCCGCCCGCTCCCGCAACGCATCGGGCGGAAAGAGTGCCCGGTCCTCGTACGGGATGCGCCAAGGCATCCGCCATTGCTCGGTATCGTGAAACGAAATAGCCCCCTGCCACGTCAGCCGGGCGGTCGTCGGGTCGGATGGTTTGGGGCATGGTCGTCCTCCAATTACTCCGTGCGCATTTCCGCAAAAGGATTTCTGATGGTCAGACCCTCGATTCGCTGACCGTCCTGCATATCCTCGCTGTAAAGGGTGGTGCAGCCGGCTTCCAACGCCGCCGCCACGATGAGCGAATCGTAGAAGCTGAACCGGTATCTCGCCCGAACTTCCAGTCCATTCTGATAGAGCTCAGGAGTTGGGTATACTTCCCAGAGGGGGAACAATACCTCACGCAGCAACTGATCGATTCGGCTGGAATCTACGCCTGCCCTCCGTGTAACCACGTTGAGCGTTTCTTGGACCACTTGGTAGCTGATGCATCCGGTCCGGTTGGTCAAATTGTCTTCTACCAGGGTTTCCGCGCGCCGGTATTTCGTTAGGTCGGTACGTTCAAACAGGTATATGAACACATTGGAATCGAAGAAATTCTCAGCGGGCATTCATTTCATCGCGATTGGGTTTCGGGCCGCTGGTGTCAATATGCTCGCGCAGCTCGCGGATAGCAGTCATCACTCGCTCCGTTCGCGCCTTGCGCTCCTCCGGCGTCTCCTCCACTCGCTCGTCGCCGGCGTAGTCCTGCAGCCAGCCGCGCAACAGCTCATCCAGCGTCGTATTCTCCCTCGTCGCCTTTCGACGCGCGGCGTCCAGCAGGCGGTCTTCAATGCTCAGGCTGAAGCTCTTCATTCGGCGCTCCCTTCCGGCGTTCCTGTCTCATCTTATTAAGGTTGCCAGCAGCCTCATTATACAAAAGCGTCCCCCTCGTTGCAGTGGCCCGGCGTTCTCCAACTGTGGAACAGCCCCGTGTTTTCAAGTATGATTGCGGAAACCCGGCAACCTGAACCCGCATTCTCCTGAAACTGAACACTCCTGACCCGAGGAGGATAGTCTTGAAGTACGACTACATCGTCATCGGCGCCGGCTCCGCCGGCTCCATTGTCGCCACCCGGCTGAGCGAAGACCCCAGCACCTCCGTGCTCCTGATCGAGGCCGGCCCCGATTACCCCAACTTCGACCACCTGCCCGACGAGGTGAAGTTCGGCTACGCCACCGCCACCGACGTGATGACCAGCGACCATAACTGGCAGTTCACCGGGCACGGCACCGCGGAAAACCCCGAGATCATGGTGCCCCGTGGCAAGGTCACCGGCGGTTCCAGCGCCATCAATGGCCAGATGTTCCTGCGGGGCGTCCCCGAGGACTACGACGGCTGGGCCGCCATGGGCAATGACCAGTGGAGCTTCCCGAACCTGCTGGGCTGTTTCCGCCGCCTGGAGACCGACACCGATTTCTCCGACGATTTCCACGGCAACGACGGCCCCATCATCGCCCGACGCTTCAAGAGCGAGGATTGGCTCCCGGCTCAATCCGCCTTCTACAACGCCGCCCGCGCCTACGGTTTCCCGCATACGGACGACCACAACAGCCCAGATTCCACCGGCATTGGCGCTACGCCTTTCAACAACCCCAACGGCATCCGGTGGAGCACCGCCCTCGGGTATCTTGACCTGGCGCGCCATCGCTTGAACCTCACCCTGCGCCCCGACTGCACGGTGCATCGCATCCTATTTGACGGGGACAAAGCCACCGGCGTTGTGGTGGAAAGCGGCGGCGATGTGTTCACCGTTGAGGGCGATGAGATAATCCTCAGCGGCGGCGCCATCGCCTCTCCGCAACTGCTCATGCTGTCCGGCGTCGGCCCCGCCGACCACCTGCGCAGCCTGGGCATCCCCGTGGTGCACGACAGCCCCGGCGTGGGCCAGAACCTGCGCGACCATCCCATCGTGCCCGTTACCTGGCGGACCAGGCCAGGATTTGAGCTTGACGGTTTCGCGCCCCGGATGCAGTTGTGCCTGAAATACACGGCCGAGGAGTCTGATCTGCGCAACGACATGATCATGATCTTCTCGTCTTTCGCCACTGAGCAGGTGATCCGCGGCGGCGACCGCATGGAGCCCCTGGGCATCCGCGCCTCGGTGTCCATCTACCTCGCCGTAGGCGCCGGCGAGCTGAAACTGAACTCCACCGACCCCCACGAGCAGCCCTATCTCGACTACAACTACCTGCAGGAGGAGTTCGACCGCAAGCGGCTGCGCGATGGTGTCCGCATCGCCGCCCAACTGGGCGCGCACGACGACTTCAAGGACATCATTCAGGAGCGGACTGAACCCCTGGACTCCGACCTCGAGTCCGACGAAGCGCTGGACCATTGGCTGCGCAGCAACGTCTCCACCGCCCAGCACATCTCCTGCACCTGCAAGATGGGCCCTGCCTCCGACCCCATGGCGGTCGTTGACCAGTACGGCAAGGTCCACGGGTTGGATAATATCCGCGTGGTGGACGCTTCCATCATGCCCGACTGCATCCGCGCCAACACCAACGTCACCACCATGATGATCGGCGAGCGCGTCTCCGAGTTCATCCTGCAAGGCAACTGAAGGAGGTAGAACATGGCAAACCGCGATGTTGAACTGATCGGCCATCTGATGCGACGGGCCGGCTTCGGCGCCACCCGCGCACAGCTGGAAGCCCACGCCGCCCAAGGCTACGCGGCCACCGTCGAGCGTATCCTCGACCAGAACAACGAGGAGCGCATGGGGGATGACCTCATCCGCCGCTTCCACCCCGAACTCTCGGGCATGTTGGGTCCGTTGGGTTCCGGCGAGAACTGGCTGTACCGCATGGCCACCACCACCACGCCGCTGCGCGAAAAAGTCGCCCTGTTCTGGCACGGCATCTTCGCCACCGGCTATCCCAAGGTCATCCACGGCAAGGCCCTCTCCGACCAGGTCCGCATGTTCCGGCACCTGGGCATGGGCAGCTTCAAGGACCTCCTGGTGGAGCTGTCCCGGGACCCGGCCATGATCATCTGGCTGGATAACCAGGACAACCACAAGGACGCCATCAACGAGAACTACGGCCGGGAATTGCTGGAACTGTTCTCCATGGGTGTGGGCAACTACACCGAACAGGATGTTCAGGAGTGCGCCCGCGCCTTCACCGGCTGGACCCTGGGCAATCGGGAGTACATGGAACTCCGCTCCATGCGCGACTCCGACTGGCCCTACGGCCGCATCTCCTGGCACTTCGAGTTCCAGGAAGAAGACCACGACTTCGGCGAAAAGGAGTTCTTGGGCCAGCGCGGCGCCTTCAATGGCGATGACGTCGTGGACATAATCTGCCAACAGGAAGCCACCGCCCGGTTCGTCGCCCGGCACATGTATAGCTTCTTCGTCGCCGACGAGCCGCCCGTCCCGGAGTGGCCCTACACCGAGCCGCAGGACCCGGCCGCGATAGACCTGCTGGTGCAGGCGTACTTCGACAGCGGCTACAATATCACCGCCATGCTGCGGACGCTGTTCAACTCCGACTTCTTCCGCGACGAGTCGGCCTGGTTCCGCAAGGTGAAGAGCCCGGTGGAACTGGTCGCCGGCGTGATCCGGCTGACCGGCGAATTCGACCGCCCGCGCCGGGAAATCCTCGACCGCTACCAGCAGGCCGTCTTCATGGGACAGTACCTGAACAACCCTCCCAGCGTGGAAGGCTGGCACCAGGGCACCGACTGGATCGACACCGGCTCCCTGGTGGAGCGCATCAACTTCGCTTCTGAGCAACTTGGCGACACCAAACGACCCGGCGTCCGCACCATGGTCGAGCGCATCGCGGCCAGCCCCTCGGCGGCCTCGCCGGAGATGCTGGTGGATGCCTGCCTGGACCAGGTGGGCGCGATCCAGGTGTCCGAGGCAACCCGCCGCGAGCTCGTCGATTTCGCCGCCGTGGTGGGAACCCCCGATGAAACCAGCCCCGCCCAGATCGCCGAAGTCCTGCAGATGGTGGCCTCAACCCACGAGTTCCAGCGGGCGTAGCCGTCCCAACGGCAACGGCGAAACCAGGCTATGCTGGCGATGACATAAGGGTGAAAAGACCATGACCACAGTTCACGACCTACCGGAGGTCAAGTACCTCGAATACCGCATGACCCTGGGCATGACCACCATGGAAGGCCGGGGGTTCTACTACCCCTCCGACACGGCTATTGCCGCCGACGGGCGCATGTTTGTCGCCAACCGCTCCCTGGACAACGTGACCCGGGGCGTGCGGGTGACCGTGTGCGATGCCGACAGCGAATACTACGGCACCTTCGGCGCTTACGGACAGACCCCGGGACAATTCGTCTGGCTCTCGGCCTGCGCCCTGGACAGCCGGGATCGGTTGTACGCCAGCGATGAGTACCTGCACCGCGTCTCGGTATTTGACCGGGAAGGCGCTCTGCTGTCCCTATTGGGGCGAGCACGGCGCCGCTGAGGGTCAGCTGGATACCCCGTCCGGCCTGGCCTTTGATGCCGATGACAACCTCTACGTCGCCGACACCTACAACCACCGCGTCCAGAAGTTCACCGCCGATGGCCGCTTCCTGGTTTCATTCGGGCGTCAGGGCGACGGTCCCGACCAGCTGAACCTGCCCTGGGGCCTGACCGTCGGCGGCGACGGCAACGTGTACGTGGCAGACTGGGGCAACGACCGGGTCCAGAAGTTCTCGCCCGACGGCGAACACCTGGCATCCTACGGCGCCAGCGGCCACGGCAACGGCGAGTTCCATCGTCCGTCCGGCGTCGCCGTCGACCCGGCCGGCTATATCTTCGTTGCCGACTGGGGCAACGAACGGGTGCAGGTGCTCGATCCCGCCGGCAACTTCGTCCAGAAGCTGCGCGGAGAGGCCACCCTGTCCGACTGGGCAGCCAACTTCCTGTCCGTCAACGTGGAGGAGGGCGGGGCACGCTCCCGGGCGAACCTGGAACCCGAGATCGAGTACTTCGTCGACGAGCCCCACGAGGAATCGTCTCACATCGAAAAGTATTTCTGGTCCCCCGTATCGGTCAAGCTGGACCGCGAGGGGAACCTTTACGTAACCGAAAGCAACCGGCACCGCATCCAGGTGTATCGGCCGGCCCACGCCTCCGCTCCGTCATTGAGAGCGTAGCGTGGCAATCCCGTCGCAGCCGATTCGGCCCCGCCAGACCCAAGCAGGAGGATAGCCCGATGACTTCCACCAAGAAGGAAAGGTCGGTAGTGGTGATTGAGCTTCAGGGCGGCAACGACGCCCTGAACACCGTGATCCCCTACAACAACCCGCTGTACTACGACTACCGCAACAACGTGGGCATCCCTGAAGGCGATGTACTGCACCTGGACGGCGAGGTCGGCCTCAACCCCAATCTCGCTCCCGCCAAGCATCTCTGGGACCAGGGGAATTTCGCCATCATCAACGGCATCGGCTACCCCAACCCCAACCGCTCCCACTTCCGCTCCCGTGACGTCTGGTACACGGCGGAGTCCGAGAAGATCGGCGCTGAAGGCTGGCTGGGCGCGGCCATCCGCGACCTCGACGCCCGGGGCGAAAACGTGCTCACCGGCGTCAACTTCGGCCGCGGCCTTCCCCGCGCCATGGTCTGCAAGGGCGTTCCCGTCGCGTCGGTCGCGAACCTGGAGACCTACGGCCTGATGCCCGACATCCAGGACGAGAAGTCCCGCCAGTACGCCCTGGAGGCCTTCAGCCGCATCTACGGCCCCACCGAGAGCAAGGACATCGTCGCCCAGGTGCTGTCCGAGACCGGCTCCAACGCCCTCAAGGGCGCCGACCGGCTCCGCACCGCGCCGGATCTCTATTCGTCCTCGGTGGAATACGCCGACACCCCCATCAGCCAGTCGCTGAAAAACATGGCGCAGGTGATGTCCGCCGATCTGGGCACCCGCATCTTCTACACCCAGCACGGCAGCTTCGACACCCACAGCAACGAGCTACTGGCTCACGCCAAGCTGTGGACCGACGTGTCCACCGCCATCGCCGACTTCACCAGCGACCTGGAGGAGCACGGGCTGGCCGACGACACGTTGATCCTCGTCTTCTCCGAGTTCGGCCGGCGCATCAAGGACAACGGCGCCGGCACCGACCACGGCTCCGGCGGCGTGTCCTTCGTTATCGGCGGCTCGGTCAACGGCGGCCTGTACGGTGAATACCCGTCCCTGCGCCCCGAGGATCACTCGGAAGGCGACCTCCACTTCACCAACGACTTCCGCTCCACCTACGCCACCATCCTCAACCGGTGGCTGGAGCTCGACCCCATCCCCATCGTCCACGGTGACTACGAGCAGTTCGCCTTCCTGTAGGCCGATGGCAATACGCCAATACGTAGGGGCGAATGGTTATTCGCCCCTACTGCTAAGACGCTCTCGGCCAAGACGCGACGCAATTTGTTTAGAACACCATCTTTAGCCGCGTCCGCGGGATTGTCTGCTACTGTAAGGTAAAGTAGAGATCAGGATTCCGTGGGCGACCACGTTAGGATATTTTGATTTGACTTCCGTATCGACCAGACTGGATATCCGTGTATGCCATCATGGTGAATCGAAACGTCAAATGGCTGTCATATACGGTGCTTGTGGGATTGATCCCAGTACTGGCGAGATTCCTGCTTTGGGCCGTTACTGACAATCAGCAGGTTCCGTTATTGAACGCCACCGACTTCATCATATTTAGATTGATATTGCATATTTCGAACATAAACGAGATAGAGCATTTTCACGACGGCCATCAGTCGTGGAAAACGTTCCATAATGGATCATCGATATTGTTTATCGTAATGTACGCAGTTCTTTTCGCCTGCCAGTTGTTGGGCCAATCTAACCCTGGATTAGTGAATAGCACTTCTATGCTCGTGTTCACTTTGGCCTTGAGTGCCGTTTCGCTGTTGTTAAGCGGCTCTGTGTATTACAGGCTTTCCAAGTTGGTGCCATGATGTTGTCGTTGACACAAATCCTCGGTATCGCTGTGCTGATCACACTAGTGATCGGTATAGGCGTTCTGGTTTGGTCTGTTGTAGATACCAGACGCCGGTACTATGCTGATTTCATCGGCAGAAGGAACCAGAATGGAAGCGATTGACAAAGGCGCGGATTTGGAACTTAAGGTAGCCGCAACTGACGCCACGAACGCGACTCCGAGCATGAAGGAATTGCTTCTGACGCTCTTGGAACGCTTCACGTGCTCGAGACAGCGTTATCCGGGAAAAAGGAAAACGAGGTGGTGCTGGATCCGATTGCTTTATACCGGGAACTGTGAACGGTGACAGAGTTACATTTGATGTATTGTAACTCTGTCCGTGCTACCTGGACGAAATGGCCGCAACTCTACTCGTCCAGGTACTGCTCGCCCCACTTGTCCAGATACACCACGTCCGACAGCGGGCCCCGGCGCACCGGCCCGAAGTTGCCCATGGGGTAGCCGATGGGCAGGATGGCATAGGAGTGCACGCCCGGCGGCAGGCCCAGGATATCCTCGACCTCTTTCTCGTGGCGCAGGTGCCGGCTGGTGAGCGTCGCGCCGAGCCCCAGGGCGCGCGCGGCCAGCAGCATGTTCTGGACCGCCGGATAGATCGACGCCCCGGCTGATCGTGTCGGCGGCTCTTGCCCGTCGTCCTGGCAGGCCACGATCCAGATCGGAGCCTCGTGGTAGTGCGCGGTCAGGTACTCCACCGCGCCGTGCTGCCGGCGATACCGGCTGGGGCTGGAACCGGGAGGCGGCTCGCTGCCCAGGTAGCGCGGCCCCACCACCTCGTCAAACGCCTTTTGGTACCACTTCTGCACCTGCTCCTTGATGCTGCGGTCCTTCACCACCATGAACCGCCACCGCTGGTTGGCTCCGCCATTGGCGGCCCACTGCCCGGCCTCCAGGATCCGGTGGACCAGTTCGTCGGGCACTGGGTCCGGCTTGAGCCGCCGCATGGCCCGGGTCGTGTGCATGATGTGAAACAGGTCAGTTCCTTCAGCCATTTCATTACTCCTCGGCGTCAAATCGCGGGGGTCGTTTCTCCAGGAATGCGCTCATCGCCTCGTGCGGATACGGCGTGGCGAACCCCAGGGCAAATGTCTTGATGGTGTACTCGGTCGACTCCGCCTCGCCCATCTCCAGCCATTTGGCGACGATGTCCTTCTGCGCGGCCAGCACGGGCCGGGCCATCCCCAGGAACTCTCGCGCCGTTTCCAATGCGGTCTCGTGCACCCGATTGTGCTCAACCACCTCGTCCACCAGGCCGATACGCAGCGCCTCTGCCGTGCCAACGGTCTCGCCGGTCAGCAGCATTTTACGCGCCCGACCCAGGCCCACCGTCGGCGGCAGCAGCGAAGCCTCAATCACCGAGGGCAGGCCAACTCGCACCTCTGGCAGCCCGAATATCGCATCATCCGACGCAATGCGTATATCGGCGGCCAAGGCCAACTCCAATGCCCCACCCAGGCAGGGCCCCTGTATCGCCGCCACCACGGGAACCGGCACGTCCAACAGGACGCGCGCCGCCCGGTGCAGGCTGCGGATGAACTCCTCGGCCGTCAGCGGGCGTCAGGTCTTTCATCTCGCGCAGGTCCACGCCCGCCGAGAACGCCCGCTCGCCGGACCCTCGCAGCACAATGGCCCGCACCGTCTCGTCTGCTCCGCACTCTTCTACTCGTTGGTGCAGCGCGCGAAACACCGCCGGACCCAGCAGGTTCAGGTGCGTCCGCCCCTCCATAGACAGGGTGGCGATGCCGTCCTCCCGCTCAATGGTTACCCCTGTGGTCACGTCTGCCTCCTGTCCGTCAGTCGCCCGTCCCGACCTTTGATATTCCGTGTTTCGCCAGGATCGCGTCGACGAAGGGCTTCAGCACCCACTCGGCGCACTCAATGGTCAGCCCGACCACCTCGGATGGGTTTTCCTTATCGAAGAACGCCACCACGTCCTGGCAGACGTCGTCACCGTCACCCAAAGGCTTCCCGTTTGTGATGGAGAGTGTCTCCGTATCGGGGTAATACTTCACCACTGGCTCGTTCTTCTGGTGGTTCACGCTAGATTTGACCACGGTCTGCCTCCGTATCTCTTTTCCAGTTGCCTGTCTGGATAGGCGGTATGCAACGCGCCAGTGTCAGGACGGCCTACTAGCCCAACTTTGATCCATTGATGGAACTCAGGGACACGCCCGACCAGGATCGTCCTAACTTCGTCCCGGTACTCTACGTATTCTTGCCACTGTTCGTAAGGGCGTTCAATCGTGTGCATCACCCATTCCTGTAAGATTTCAGGGTGGGTTTGTTGCAACTCGGCGCCATGTCGGGTTTTGGCAATCGAGCGTATCCCAGACGCAGCCTTTCGCGCTCGGGCATGTCATCGCGTAGTTCATATTCAGGCTGTTCGATCCTTCAGAGCTAAAGCCGCTAAACGCCGGCGCGCTACGGCGTCCCGCGCCGGCTCTGCCACTGCCGCCTCAATGAAACGCAGCGCCTCGAAGTTGAAGATGTCGGGCTTCTCGAAGTACACCGAGTGACCCGCCTCCGGCACCCGCAGCAGCCGCGAGCCGGGAATGGCTCGCGCCCCGGCCTCGATCACCGACGGCGGTGAGAGTTGGTCCTCCTCGCCCACGAAGAACAGCGTGGGTACCTTCAGGTTCGCCAGTTCCGCAGCGCTGGGCCCCGCCGGCATCCCGCCCGGCGGCGTGTGGCGCGGCGGGTTGGTGCGCGATACCTGCAGGTACAGGTTCGCCAGGTTGGGGTTCCGCTGCACGAACAGCGGCGCCACGGCGCGGAATCCGATCTCGCCGTTGGCCGATGGGTTGGCCGCTTGCTTCTCTGCCCACGCGCGCTGCTGTTCGATCACTTCCGCCACGTTCATCCCGCCCACCGTGTCCGCCATCACCAGGCTCTTGATCCGATGCGGGTACGCCACGGCAAACCCCAGCATCGTCCGTCCGCCCATCGACTGCGCCACCAGGTGCGCCGAGTCGATGCTCAGGTGGTCCAGCAACCCGCGCAGGTCGTCCACGAAAGAATTGGCTCCCGGCCCATTGGGAGCATCATACGAGTGTCCGAATCCGCGATGGTCGAAGGTGACGCAGCGGTACCGCTGCGAGAAGAAGGGTATCTGCTGCCACCAGCTCAGCAGGTTGCCGCCGGCGCCGTGGGCGAACACGATGGCATCACCCTCGCCGTAACTCTGGTAGTGCAGGTCAATTCCGTTGATTTTGCGCGCTGCTCACGTTGCACCTCTCTGGCTGTTTGTCCCGGCTGGTTGTTTGTCCCGTTTGGAGACCTTTCTCGCTGGTCACCAAGTTTGTCACCGTCGACCCGGTGTGGCAATCCCATTGACGAAACAATCACCTGGTGGACAAGTTGCCCTGAACGGCAATGCATGATATTCCTCATCACTCTATATGCCTTGTGAGGATATTCGCCAAAGGCGTAAAATGTCCCCCGTTGTGCAACGGCAATCGTCGCGTTGCGCCGGCTCCCCTGATCGCCATGTCCAGCAACGACGCACCCTCCGCCGGACCACGCTTCGGCTTCCGGCCGTCCAACGTATATTACGGCTGGTATATCGTACTCGCCACCGGCTTCGTGATGACGATAGCCACGGTGCCGCTGTTCCACGCGATGACCCTGTGGGCCGTTGCCCTCGAAAACCGTTTCGGCTGGCCCCGCGGCCAATTGTCGCTCGCCCTCACGTTGACCCGCATCGAAGGCGGCCTCATGGGCCCCATCGAGGGATACCTGACCGACAAGTTGGGCGCGCGGAAGATGGTGTTCGGCGGGTTCATCATCCTGGGCCTCGGTTTCCTGATCTTCTGGCAAATCGACGCCGGATTCTGGCCCGGTCGCCCCGCTGTACATGTTCTACGCCGCCTACATGGTGATGGCCCTGGGCCAGGGCATGGGCAGCTGGGTCCCCATGATGACCACCATCAACAACTGGTTTTCCCGGCGCATGGCGTCGGCCATGGGCTGGGCCAATTTCATGAGCCGCGGCGGCGCGCTGATTGTAATCCCGCTCGTCGACCTCGGCATCAACGGCAGCGTCGGCGTCCCCTTCACCGGGCATACGCTCGGTATCGGTCGCGCCATCGGCTGGGAGAACGTTGCCCTGATTTTGGGCATCATCATCCTGGTGGCTGCACTGCCGCTGTCCTACCTCATCCGCAACCGCCCCGAGGACATGGGTCTCCAACCCGACGGAGCGTCCAGCGCCCCGCAGGCCCGTGGCGGCCGGCGAGCCCCGGCGGCTCCCCAGGGCCTGACCGCCCAGCAGGCGGTCCGCACCTCCGCGTTCTGGCTCATCGCCATCGGCCACGGCATGACCAGCATGATCATCCTGGCCATCTTCACCCACCTGGGCCTGCTCCTCAAAGATGCCGGCTTCCAGGAATACGCCGGCACCGTCGTGATCCTCTACACCCTGGTTTCCATGTTCTCGCAGCCCCTGGGCGGATACATCGGCGACCGCTTCCCCAAGCGTATCGGCCTGTTCGTTTTCACCACCATCCAGGCCAGCGCCGTGCTGCTGCTCACCTTCAGCACCGAGCTCTGGATGTTCTACACCTTCGCCGTTATCTTCGGCCTGGGTTTCGGCGGCCGCAACCCGCTGACCACTTCCATACGCGGCGAGTACTTCGGCCGGGGCAACTTCGGCAAGATCCTGGGCATCAGCACCATTCCCATGAACGGCCTGCTCCTCATCTCCAGCCCCTTCGCCGGCTACATGTACGACTGGCAGGGCTCCTACACCATCGCCTTCCTGGTGCTGGCCGGGTTCAACTTCATTGGCGGCGTCTGCTTCCTCTTCGCCAAGCGGCCCCGCATGCCCCACCACGCCCGAGGCCACGCCATCCGTTGCTGCCCCGGTGCCTGCCGCTGGAGATTCGTAACCCGCAATTCCGACGGCGGACGTACGCACACCGTGCAAAAGATTGGGGGCGGGTTCTAAACCCGCCCCCAACGCTTCTCGCTCGCGCCGTCGCCGATCAGCCCAGATCGGTCTCGGTGATCTCAATGTTGTTGATGGCCAGGCGTTCCGTGGGCTGGGAGTTCTCTCCGCCGCGGCTCTGTCGCACCGGCGAGGTGGCCAATGCTTCCAGCACGTCGTCACCGTCGGTGAGCATCCCGAAGATCGTGTAGTTGGGCGGCAGTCCCGCGTCGGCGCCCGTGCACGATGAACCACTGGCTGCCGTTGGTGTTCGGCCCAGCGTTGGCCATCGCCAGCGTGCCCCGCGTGTAGGAGCGGGTCACTTCCTCGTCGCGGAAGCGGTAGCCTGGCCCGCCCGTGCCGTCTCCGCTGGGGCAACCGCCCTGGATCATGAAGCCATTGATGATCCGGTGAAACTGGTTGTCTTCATAGAAGCCGTCCCGCGCCAGAAAGACGAAGTTGTTGACGGCCCTCGGAGCGACCTCGGACAGCAGCTCGACGGTCATGTCGCCTTTGTCAGTCTTTATGACGGCGTGGTACCGCTTGGTCGCTTCAATGATCAGGCCCGGCTGGTTCTCGTATTGCTTGGGGGGCATCGAATGTCTCCTGAGTGTCGTGGAACGGATTGATCCCGCCGATTATACCCCAACCATTAGTCTCGACCCCTCGCGTTGCTATAATCCGCGCGGATCATAATCAACCCGGCGATACGTGGTAACGCCGCCCTATAAGGAGCCCTTCCATGCCCAACCCCACCGTTCACATCATCGCCACCGGCGGCAGTATCGCCGGAGTCGGCCCCGACCGCATGGACTACACCCTCTACCCCGAGATCGGCGACCACCTCACCATCGACCAGAACCTGGCCCGCGTCCCCGAGATCGGCGACAACTTCAACATCATCGCCGAGGACATGGTCAGCGTGGGCAGCACCGCCATCGGCCCCGCCAACTGGATCGCCCTCGCCGAGCGTATCCACGCCATCGACCGCGACGAGCCCGACACGGCCGGCATCGTCATCACCCACGGCACCGCCACCCTGGAGGAGACCGCCTACTTCCTCCACCTGCACCGTCAAGACCGAACGCCCCGTAGTCATCACCGGCGCCATGCGTCCGCCCACGTCCATCAGCACCGACGCCGACCTCAACCTGATGGACGCCGTGCGCATCGCCGCCACCCCCGAGTCTTCCGGCATGGGTGTCCTCACGGTGCTCAACAACGAGATCCACTGCGCCCGTGAGGTCTACAAGGCCAACACCCTGCGCGTGGAGACCTTCAAGCCCAACGAGCTCGGTTTCCTCGGCTACGCCGATTCCGACCATCGGGTCGTCTTCTATCGCCGTCCCGTTCGCAAACACACCACCGAGACGCCCTTCCGCGTGGACGGCATGACCGACCTGCCCCGCGTGGACATCGTGCACGCCTACGCCGGCGCCGACGGCATGCTCATCGATGCGGTGCGCGCCCACGGTTCCGCTGGACTGGTGCTGGCCGGTTTCGGCGCGGGAACCTTCCCGCCGACGGTCATCTCCGCCGCCGAATCAGCCGTCGCCGGCGGTATGCCCGTCGTCCTCGCCAGCCGTTCCAGCGCCGGCCGCGTGGTGATGACCCCGCGCAAGGACGAGCAGGGTTTCATCGTGTCCGACAACCTCATGCCCCAGAAGCCCGCCTCCTCCTCATGCTCGGCCTAACCATCACCACCGACCGCGACGCCCTCCAGCAGATGTTCTACGAATACTGACGGCCACCAGGTGGTCTTCGGTAGCGCGTGGATGACGGCCTTAGCGCTTGGGAATATAATGCGCCATGAAGCCTGTGTACCATCCGAGATGTGCAGATATGATTCCAGACCGAGATGCAGCATATCTAACCGCCTTGGTTCACAGATTGCGTCAGCTGCCCCGCGAACCTGAATGGGTTGAGTTCAAAGTAAACCAGGCGACTGAACCGCGGACAATTGGCGAATACACATCAGCTCTGGCCAATGCTGCCGCGCTGAACGAGCAGGACGCCGCCTATATGCTTTGGGGCATTGAGGACGACGACCACGCGATCGTCGGTACGCAATTCCAGCCGGCGACTACAAAACAAGGCAACGAACCCTTGGAAAGCTGGATGCGGCGTGGCCTGACACCGCGGGTGGATTTTCGTTTTCACGAAGTTGTGATTGCCGGGAAGCGGGTAGTGGTACTGGAAATTGAACCGACACAGCAACAGCCCGTTGCTATCCTGGGAAGGGAATATATCCGTATTGGCGATGTCAAGACGGAGCTTCGTAATCATCCCGAAAAGGAACGTGCTCTGTGGAACCTTTCCGACAGAGCGAGCTTTGAGGATGGAGTAGCTGCCGAGCGGCTAAGTGGCGACGATATCATTGACAAACTAAACTATGCCGCGTACTTCGGTTTACTCGAAAAGCCACTTCCGGATAGTCTCAATTCCATCCTATACGAACTCGAGCAAGACCGGCTCATTATGCCCTGTGCTGCCGGTGGCTGGAATATCACCAACTTGGGCGCCATATTGTTCGCCAAACGGGTTGGCGATTTTGGGCGCCTCGAGCGCAAATCCATCAGAGTCGTTCAGTACCAGGGAGCCAGCCGAGCCGAATCCGTGGGTGAACGCCAGAGTTCATGGGGTTACGCGGCAGGCTTCGCCAATTTGCTCAAATACATCAACGACAGAATATCCAGTGAAACCATCGGGCAAGGGTTGCGCCGGACATTGCCTATGGTCCCTGAGTTAGCAGTGCGGGAGTTGGCAGCCAACGCGCTGATCCATCAAGATTTTTCGGTCACCGGGGCTGGGCCTATGGTTGAGATATTCGATACCCGCATTGAGATTACCAACCCCGGGGCGCCGCTGGTGGACACACAACGGTTCCTCGGCAGCCCGCCTAGATCGCGCAACGAAACGCTGGCATCCATGATGCGACGCATTGGCATATGCGAGGAACGCGGCAGCGGCATTGAGAAGGCAGTCTCGGCAGTGGAAGCAGAGTTGCTACCCGCGCCGCTGTTTGAATCTTACGAGGGGTTCACGCGGGCCGTGCTGTTCGCGCATAAGGACCTGTCTGAAATGGACCGAACCGAACGGGTACGCGCCTGCTACCTGCACGCTTGTCTGTGTTACAGGCTGCGCCAGCCGATGAACAACACTTCATTGAGGGAACGGTTCGGCATTGCCAGCGACCACATTGACCGGGCATCCCGACTGCTTAGAGAAGCCGTAGACGACGGAATGATCGTCGTGCAAGACCCGGATATTGGCAACAGATTCCGCACGTACCTACCATTTTGGGCAGCGTGATTTTATTTGCACGCCATTTGCAAAATCCACGAAAATCACGCGTTTGCCCCATGGAGTCGTCTTTTCCCTACGGGATGGAGCGCTCGATTTTATTTGCACGCCATTTGCAAAATCCACGAAAATCACGCGTTTGCCCCATGGAGTCGTCTTTTCCCTACGGGATGGAGCGCTCGATTTTATTTGCACGCCATTTGCAAAATCCACGAAAATCACGCGTTTGCCCCATGGAGTCGTCTTTTTCCCTACGGGATGGAGCGCTCGATTTTATTTGCACGCCATTTGCAAAATCCACGAAAATCACGCGTTTGCCCCATGAGTCGTCTTTTCCCTACGGGATGGAGCGCTCGATTTTATTTGCACGCCATTTGCAAAATCACACGAAATCACGCGTTTGCCCCATGGAGTCGTCTTTTCCCTACGGGATGGAGCGCTCGATTTTATTTGCACGCCATTTGCAAAATCCACGAAAATCACGCGTTTGCCCCATGGAGTCGTCTTTTCCCTACGGGATGGAGCGCTCGATTTTATTTGCACGCCATTTGCAAAATCTACTAAATCTGCACGGTTTCATTGCATTAATCGATTAGGTCCTGCGGTGAACCGCGCCCAAGTTTGCTTGCGAAAACGAGCTGAATAGGCGACTGATATCGCGTCTCTCGAATCGGCGTGTATAATGCGCCCAATTCCGCCCCTGGCCGCAATTTAGGAGCGCAATAAATGGCACAGGCAGCCGGCGTCAGCCCTTCCCAACCCGGCCGCCCAACAACCACACAACAAACAAACCCACCCCACCCACAACACAACAACAACCAAAAACACCACACCCACAAACAAACCAAAACCAAAACACCAAAAACACACACAACACAAAACACAACCAAAACACACACACCCAAAAAAAAACACAAAAAACAAAAAAAAAACACAACCACCACACCACAACAACACCCCCAAACACCCAACCACAACCACCAACAACCCAACACCAACCACCACAACACCCCCAAACCCCCCAAAACAACAAAAAAAAAAAAACCCCACCAAAACCCAAACCAAAAACCAAAACAAAACACAACCCACAAAAAACCACCCAACACACAACACAAACAAAAACACCACCAAAAAAAAAAAAAAAACACCCACCCAAAAAAAACAAACCACCCCACAACAAAACCCAACCCCACACAACAAAACAAAAAACCCAAACACAAACACCAACAAAACCAAAAAAAACACACCAACCACACAACCCCAAACAAAAACACAAAAAAAAAACCAAAAAACCCAAACCCAAAAAAACAAAAAAAACCACACACAAACACAAACAAAACCCCCAACACACAAACAACCCCCCCAACCCACCCAACCCAACAAACCCAAAAACAAAAAAAAACAAACACACCACAAAAACCACCACCCCCCCCAACCAACCACCAACAAAAAAAAAACACCCCAAAACAACAACCCCCAACCCACACCCACCACAAACCAAAAACCAAAACACCACACCCCAACCAACAACAACACCAAACACACCACAAAAACCCCACCACAAACAAAACAACAAAAAAACAAACACAAACACCAACCCCCCACCACAACACCACACCCAAACAAACCACACAACAAAACAAAAACCCCACCAAACCACAAAACACAACCCACACCAAACACCACAACCCACCAACAACAAACAAACAAACCCCCACCAAACAACAAAAAAAACCACACACAAACAAACAAACAACCAACAAAAAAACCAAACCCACCCAAACAACCACCACCCACACAAAAACACCCCAACCCCCCCCAAAAAAACAAAAAAAACCACAACAAAACAAAAAAAACAAACAAAACAACCAAAAACAACACAACCCAACAACAACACACACCAAACAACAAAACAACAAAACACAACAACAACACCACAAAAAAAAACAAACAAACCACCACAAAACAAAAACCAAACAAAACAAAAAAAAACCAAACAAAAACCAAAAAAACCCACAAAACACACCCACACAAAAAAAACAACAACAAAACCCCAAAACCCACCAACACCCACAAAACACCCACACCAAAAAAAACACAAACACCCCCCCACCCACAAACACAAAAAAAAAAAAAAACAACCAACCACCACCACAACAAAACCAAAAAACACCAAACCCACCACAAAAACCAACCAAACACAAACCCCAAAAAACCCCCACAAACAAACAACCCACCCAAAACAAAAAACCAAACAAACACAAACCACCAACCAACACACACCACCCAACCCCCCCCCAAAACACCAAACCAAAAAACAAAACCAACCCCCACCCACACAAAACAAAAACAAAACAACACACCAACCAAAACAAAAAAACAACAAAAAAAAAAACCCCAACAAAAACCCCCACCAACCCACAAAAAAACCCAAAAAAAACAAAAAAAACAACAAAAAAAACAAAAAAACAAAAACAAAAACAAAAAACAAACCACCCCCCACACCAAAAAACCAAAAACACAACACAAAACAAAAAAAACACAAAAAACAAAACAAACACAAAACAAACCCAAAACCACACCCCCACCAACACACCACAAACCAAAAACCCAACACAACACCAAAAAAAAAAAAAAACCAAACAAACCCAACAAAAACCAAAAAAACCCAAACACACCACACACAAACACCAACACACAAAAACCCAAACGACGACGCTCCGCCAACCACAGGGCTCCGTCATGGCAACCACGCTGGTGGGCGCTCACGCCTTCGAGCACCTGTACGCCCACAGCATTCCCATCATCATCCTCGCCATCATCACCGAGTTTGAACTGGGAGCGCTCAGCGTCGGCGCGGTGGTCGCCATTCGGTCCATATTTGGAGGCATCACCAGCACCGCCGGCGGGTTCCTGGTCGACCTGTTCCACCATCGGGTGGCCCTGGTGCTGTCCATCAGCACCTTTATGATCGGTCTGGGCTACCTGCTCATGTCCATTGCCCCGTCCTACGCGCTGATCCTGTGCGCGCTGGCGCTGGGTTCCATGGGCAGCGCACTGTGGCATCCGCCGGCCCTGGGTCTGCTGGCGAGGCGCTTTCCCGAGCGGCGCGGTTTGTTCATCTCCATGCACCGCTCCACCGGCAGCGTCGGCGACGTCATCGGCCCGCTGGCCGCCGGCGCGCTGATTGCCGGCGCCCTGACCTGGACCGGCGGCGCCGGGGACGCTGAGGTGGGAGTCTCGTGGCCCCTGCCCTGGGGCACCATCGACTGGCGGTACATCCTGGGATTCAGCACGCCGGTGATGTTCATCGCCACGGTCGCTATTTTCTTCCTGCTCCGCAACGCCGGCAGCGAGCGTCCGATCAACGTGGACGTCAGCGCCCGCATCCGCACCAATTGGGCCGGCATGAAGGACGCCTTCCGCGGCACCGGAATGTGGGCCATCTTCACCGTGTCCGCCGTGCGTGGCATGGCCGACCGCTCCCTGGTGTTCCTGATCCCGCTGTACCTGATCCATCTGGGAGTTGGCGAGTTCCAGGCCGCCGTCCACGTCATGCTCATGGTGCTTCCCGGCATCCTCTTCGGCCCCTTCATTGGCTGGATGTCCGACCGGACGGGCCGCCGCCCGCTGATCATCTTCATCATGGGCGTCACCACGATACTCACCATCGCGATAATCCTGGCCAGCGGTGATGGTTACACCCCGTGGATCACCATCTTCGTCGCCATCTATGGGATGCTCAACTTCTCGGTGAACAACCTCACCCAGGCCGCCGCCGCCGACATCGCCGCCGGCCGTCGGCTCGAGTCCAGCTTCCTCGGCCTCATGTGGGGGAACAACACCCTGTTCGGAGCCGTCGCCGCCTTCATGATCTTCGGCCCCGTGGAATGGTTCGACTGGCAGTACGGGTTCTTCATCGCGGCGGGCATCTACTTCGCGGGCTTCCTCATCTCGATGCTGATCCCGGGAAAGCCCCGGGAACCCGAGGCCGTGCCGGCTCCGGCCTGATCGCTGGACCATAGCAGGGTGACTACAGCTCCGGGGACGCTGCCGGATACGTCGGCAGGGGGCGGACGCCGCACTGGAAACGGTGTGCTGGCGTCCACCCTCATCGGCGCCCACGGCTTCGAACACCTCATTTCCAACAGCATCCCGCTGCTCACCACCGTAATGGCGGTGGACTTGGGCTTGGGCGCGCTCCAGGTGGGGGCCATCGTAGCGGTGCGCTCGGCCTCGGCCGGGATAACCAGCGTAACCGGTGGCTTCCTGTCCGATTTGCTTCACCACCGGATTGCCTGGGTGCTGTCCATCAGCGCCTTTCTCACCGCAGTGGGACTGCTCCTGATCGCGATTTCGCCGTCCTACGCCATGATACTAATGGCCCTGGCGCTGGCGTCATCGGGGGCCGCGCTGTGGCATCCGCCGGCTCTGGGTCTGCTGGCGCAGCGTTTTCCCAATCGGCGGGGATTTTTCATGTCGCTGCACCGCTCCACCGGCAGCGTGGGCGACGTGGTGGGGCCGTTGATTGCCGGCATCCTGCTGCTCGGCGCGCTGCGCTGGGAGGCAGCCGATGGTCTGGCCGTCGGTTGGGAACTGGGTCTGGAGCCGGTCAGCTGGCGCTGGATCCTGGCCTGTGGCGCGCCGATCATGTTCGTCGCCACTTTCGTCATCTACGGACTGCTGCGCCATGCCGGCGGCGCGCCGCCGGTGAACGTTGACCTGAAGCAGCGGTTGAGGACCATGTGGCAAGGCACCTACGTTGCCTTCCGCGGGACGGGTCTGTGGGCCATCTTCGCGGTGGCGGCGGTGCGCGGGATGGCCGATGGGTCAATGCTGTTCCTAGTGCCGCTGTACCTGACCCAGGCGCTGGGGATCAACACATTCCAGGCTTCGGCGCACCTGGCTCTGATGGTGGGGCCGGCGATGGTAACCGCTCCGCTGCTGGGCGCGTTGTCCGACCGCGTGGGCCGCAAGCCGCTCATCGTGCTCTTGATGGCCTTCGCCACGGTGCTGACCCTGGCCATACCGTTGAGCGGGCAGGAGTATTCCATGTGGATCACGGTTTGTGTCGCCCTCTATGGGTTGCAACACTTCACGGTGATCAACCTGACCTCCGCGGCCGCGGCCGACGTCGCCGCGCGCTACCGGCTCGAGTCCAGTTTCCTGGGCCTGATGTGGGGCAACAACGTCCTGTTCGGAGCCGTTGCCGCCGTCGTCATCTTCGGACCCATCGAGTGGCTGGGCTGGCAGTACGGTTTCTTCATCGCCGGCGGCATTTACGCCGTGGGCCTCCTGGCCTCCCTCGCCATCCCGGGCAAGGGACGCGACACCGAGCCGGCTCCGGCTTCCGCCTAGTCGCACAACGCAGCCGCTATAATGTTGTCTGCAAGGCTGAGTGTCGAGGGCGCATATGCTGTCTCCGGAGCAGATCCAGGAAGTTCGCAATAAAGTCTGGCTCGCTGACCAGGCCTTGGTTCAGCGCGACCACCAGGTGTTTTGCAAACGCATCTGGGATGCGACCGCCCATGCGATCAAGTGTGTCGCCCGGGAACGGGCGTGGCCCTGCGGTACCTTTGACGACATCTGGAAAGCCGGACGCCGGCTGGCCGAGGAGTCTGACAACGAATATGGCTGGACGTCGGCGCTCGGATGTGCTGAACTGCTTCGCACCAACGGTCGGGGTTTGGTTCAGGAACGGTACGAGATCGAAGAAGACTGGGACATCTCCACCAGTTTCATCGATCGTATGTTGGGCTTCTCGGTGCGCGACGTAAAATGACTGCTCCGGATCGGGTCCATCAGGCGAACGAATTTGTTACTTTGGCGGGTCAGCTTTTCGGGGTTGGCAACACTATGGCGGGCGCTGAAATGCTGTACGGCGCCCTCACACAGATCATTATCGCGGTCGCCATCCGTCGAGGTTGGCGTTACACGGACCACCGTCAAAGGCGACAGGTAATTCGCGATCTATCCATGACTTCCAATGATCCTGACATCACGGACGCGTTTGGTGACGCCCAGCGACTGCATGTCCACTTCTACCTGAATAATTTGAACGGTGATCGTCTGGTGGCGGCTACGAGCACAACCCACGGCCTCATCAACCGCCTCCTTCCCCTGGCCGCCTGATATGCTGATGTTCGCCTCCCCGGCCCGCGTCGCCGGGATCCTCCTGCTCCTCACCGCCGTGGCCACTGCCATCATGGTGCCCACGCGCCTCATGGCCGATGCCGATCAGCCGACCCTGCAGCTCACCCTCGAGGCCATCTCCGACAATACGCTGCCCTACACCTACAGCGCCGTCGCCCGCATGGCGTCGGGCATCTTCCTTGTGATTGCCGCCGGTTTCCTGAGTAGCGCCATCCGACAATACGCGCCCACCTGGGCTCGGTTGTCCACAATCGCGCTCTCCGCATCGGGCGTGGTCACCATCGTGTCCGGCGTGTGCGGCATCATTCTGACCACCATCGGCCCGGTCGCCATCGCTTTCGACGATGCCCAATTGCTGGAGTGGGCCGGCCGATTGGACGCCGCTCGCTGGATCATCGGCAAGGCGGGCTTCTCCCTGGCCGGACTGGGTTTGATTGCCCTGGCGCCGGTCAAGTGGCGGATGGGCGGCCTGCTCAAAGTCTTTGCGGTCGTCGACCTCGTCATCGGCGTCGCCATGCTGTTCATCTGGGTTGATGCCGCCACGGCAATGCACCGCATCTCCGGCGTCGCTTTCCTGGCCTGGCTCATCGTGACCGGCTTGTGGCTGGTCGCCGGGCTGCTCAAGCCGCCGCCCGTCCCTGCCGGCGATCCCCTTTTGCACGAAACCGGAGGATACGAACATGGCTGACCGCGCTGCCAACCTCGCCACCGTCCACCGCATCCGCGATGAATTGACCACGCTGCTAGACGGTATGGACTACTGCCTTGACTGGAAGGACGGCGACGGCCGAACCTCTGACCAATGGAGCGCCCGCGAAGTCCTCTACCACCTCGTGGACACGCCGGAGGGCGGAATCGGCGGCGTCATCGCCGGTGTCCTGGCCGGAACCCTTCCGGAAATCACCATCCTCCCCGACGCCAACAACATGACTCCGGAACGCTTGGCCGCCGACAGTGAAGAGGCCTTGGCCGGGCCCCTGGCCATCCTGCAAACCGCCGCGGACGCCATCGCCGGCGCCGCCGACGCGGACTTCGAGCAGCGCACCACCTTCGCCCGCCTACCCCACCGCGGCATCGAAGAGACCCGTACCGCACAGTCCGTCATCGATGGCCTCGAACGACACTGGGGAGAGCATCTCAACCAGATCCGCGCCATCCGAGAAGCCCTGGGAATGTGATTGCTCACGGCCTCCGTTTGACACCCGTGAAACGGCCCGGTTATATTTCCCTTACTTTCGTTCAAGAAAAGGGAGGAAACTGAACATGACGACACAGACGGGAAGGGCTCGCTTTGAGGCCGGCAACGTTACTTTCATCGTCCAGCACGAACTGTGGGACGGCAACATCCAGGACCACTCCGACCAGGGCGTGGTCATATTGGTCGAAGTCGGCGGCGAGACCGCGCTCCGCTTCAACTGCTTCGACATCGAGAAGAGCTACGCCTACGCCCCCGATGGCAAGAACGTCCAGTACCGCATGGACCAGACGGTCGACGGCAACCCCATCGGCTGGTCGGTGAAGACCATCAAGAATAGTCTGGGCGCGATGCTGACCACCGCCGGATACGGCGACGCCGTCGGCGCCCTGGATATGTCTGCCGTCTCGGCGGCGCTGGAAGATGTGGACAGCACGGCGCGGATCAAGTTCGCCGGCGAGCGCAACACGGTCAAGCACAACCGCGGCACCGACATCATCGAAGCCGGTAACATCCGCTTCGGTCTGGAGATGCGGCGGCAGGCCTCGGGCGACGGTGGCCTGGCCATTCACGTCCTCAGCGACCTCGCGGGCAACACGGGGCGGGTGTTCACCGAAGAGACCGAACTGCTGGCGTTCGACTGCTTCCGGGACGACCCGCACTACCACTACGGCCCTCGCAACAAGAACCACCGGATCTTCTGGGACAAGACCCTGGTTCCCGACCCGCTGGGGTGGTGCCTCGACCAGTTCAAGACCGGCAAGCTCAAGGCCATGCTGGAACGCGCCGGCTATCCCGGTGTCGCCGCCGACCTGGACGAAGATCTCCTCTCCTCGGTTATCCCCCAAGTCGAGGCCCGGGGCCGTGAGATGGAATCCGGAGGCATCCCGCCCGAGGTTACGCCCAACCTGGTAAGGTAATACGACAATACCGGTCGAGGCCATCGGGCCGTACACTGCCGCCGCCGGTGAGTCTGCTGGCGGCGGCTTTATCAGCGGTTTGCTCGCCCCAACTGACCGGTGTTAGACTCAATCACGCGTCGCTGGCTCGACGCTATGGATCGCCGCACCGTCCCCAGTCTGGAGAAAAGATGGCCGCTCAGACAGTTGCCGAACTTACCATCGACGAATTCCGTGCGTTGATCCGTGAGACCGTCGCCGAGGTGGTTGCCGAGCTGTTCGACGACCCGGACGAGGGCCTGGAATTAACCGATTGGGCCGTAGCCAGACTGAAAGCGGCGCAACAAGCCGGGCATACCGAGCAGCGTCCCACCAGATCCTTGTCGGAAGTGGCCCGAAGACATGGCTTGTCTTCGTGATGTACGTCGTAGATTTGACCGATTATGCTGAAGACGATCTATCCCGGCTCGAAAGGGTCACGGAACAACAGGTCATCAACCGCTTGAACTGGCTCGCCGAAAACGCCGAAGCGATCCACCATCAAGCATTGACTGGGCGCTGGCGCGGTTTCTACAGGTTGCGCGTGGGAGATTACCGCGCGTTGTACACGTTGGATCACGGGCGCCGACGAATCGTTGTAGAGCTGGTGGGACACCGCAGCGAAGTGTACCGCCCAAATTAGCAGTCGCCGCTACCGCACCTACTATGTCGTCCACTCCAGAAATCATCGTCAAACGCGTGGAAACGCCCGCCGAACTCGAGGGCGCGTTCAGCCTGCGCATCCGCGTCTTTGTGGGTGAGCAGGGTGTTCCCGCCGACATCGAATTGGACGAAGCGGACACCGCGCCGGACACCGTCCACGCGGTCGCTCTGCATGACGGGGTTATCGTCGGGACTGGCCGGTTGCTCCCCGACGTTGACGGCAGGGGGCCCCACATCGGCCGCATGGCAGTGGAACAGGCCAGACGGCGCGGCGGCGTCGGCGGTCAGGTGCTCACCTTCCTGGAAGACCAGGGCCGTGCGCTGGGGTTCCGTCAGGTCACCCTGCACGCCCAAGAATACGTAAAATCCTTTTATGCCGGCCACGGCTACCGCGAAGTCGGCGACATGTTCATGGAAGCCGGGATCCCCCATCGCGAGATGGTCAAAGATCTCTAATTCCGGGAGGTACACCAGCGAATGGGCATTCTCACCGACGAAATGAAACTCGCCCTGGCCGAACAGCGTCTGATATTTGCTGCCACCGTCTGTCCCGACGGCACCCCCAACCTGTCTCCCAAGGGCACCATCATGGTCTGGGACGACGATCACATCCTGTTCACCGACCTGGCGTCGCCCGGCACCATGCGGAACCTGGCCCACAACCCGTCCATCGAGATCAACACTCTAGACGTATTCGCCCGCAAGGGTTACCGCTTCAAGGGGACTGTGGCGGTCCACGCCGGTGATGAACTGGAAAAAGCGGTGAAGGAGCGGATGCGCCACGGCCCATCCAACGTGACCGGGCTGGCCGACAGCGTGCGCGCGGTGGTCCTGATCCGCGTGGAGCAAGCCTTGCCCTTAATTTCTCCCCGGCTACTGGGGCGGCGCCACCGAGGCGGATATGCGCCGTAACTGGGAAGACTACTGGAGCGACGTCAACGCCAACTGGCGCGAACGCCAAGCCGGATAGGGATTACCGAACGGCAGTAGGGGCGAATGATCATTCGCCCCTACAAGTGTCTGGTAACGAGTTAGGCTACCGCCGCCGCTTCCACGCCGTCCATCACCCGCACTTCCATCTTGGCGATGTGGCTGGTGGGCCGGTCGCCCAGCCCTGAGCGCTCCGGTGAGGCGAAGTAAGCCGCCTCTTTCTCCGCAATCTGGTCCGCGCTGTCGAACCGGCGCACCCAGATGAACTCCGTCCGGTCGGCGTTCACGTAGCTGGACACCACCGGGATGCCCAGGCGGTCGTGCAGCGGCCGGATGTGCTCGTTGAACAGGCCGAGCCACGAGTCCATCATCCCGCGGTTGATGGTGTAGATGCGCAACTGGTAGGTAGCCATTGTCGTATTCCTCCGAGTTCTGATGTCCCTTGTGGCGGGTGTTTGCTGGCCTCGTCAGGCAACTTCGTACCGGGCGATGGCGTCCTGGCTGAAGGACAGTCCGAGGCCGGGTCGGTCAGGCACCACGATGTCTCCGTCCACGATGTCCGGTGTCTCGTCGAACAACCGCAGCGACCAGGGCATGTACTCCACCGTCAGCCCATTGGGGATGGCCGAGATGGTGTGCACCTGCACCTCCGGTATCAGGTGCGACACGACGGGCAGGTTGAATGCCTCCGCCATGCCGGCGATCTTGCGGAAGGGCGTGATGCCGCCGGCCCGCAGCAGGTCCACCATCACGATGTCGACGCTGCGCTGCTCCACCATGTGGCGGAAGGGCCGAATGCCATACACATACTCGCCGGCCGCGATGGGCGTCGTCAGCGCGTCGGCCACTCGGGCCAGACCCTGGTAATCGTCGCGCGCCACCACGTCCTCCAGCCAGAACAGGTGGTAGTCCTCCACCATGCTGCCGATCTGGATGGCCTGGTTCACGTTCCACAGCTGGTTGATGTCGCACATGAGGTCGATGTCGGGCCCGATGGCGTCGCGCAGAGTGCGGATGCGCGCCACCTCGCGGGCCGCCGTCGGTTCCGCGCCCATCTGGGTCTTCATCTGGCGGAAGCCCTGCTCCACCAGGCGGGGGCCGGCTTCGGCCAGATACTCCAGGCCCATGGGCCGCATCAGTGCGCCGCTGGCGTAGGTGGGTGCCCGGTCCCGGTAGCCGCCCATCAGCGAGCAAACCGACTGGTCCAGCGCCTTGCCCTTGATGTCCCACACCGCCATATCGATGGGCGCAAGGCCAAGGGAGAGAATGCCTTCCGGCCCCGCCGAGGCGCTGGCGTTCATCAGCTTGCCCCACACGGCCTCGGGGTTCATCGGATCCTCGCCCACTGCGAGCTCCACCAGATCGTCCACCGCCCTCCGCAGCGCATGCACCAGCGGCCCTCCGAAGAACGTCACACCGACGCCGCTGATCCCCTCGTCGGTGTGCAATTCCAGCGTGACGAATTCCCGTGTGCCGGGTTGGTCGATGCCCACCACCAGCGGGTTGTCCGCCGGTGTCTGCAAAACGCGCGTGGTGCCGCCGGTAATTCTCATGGTCAATAGTCTCCTTCCGTAGGCCGATACCTCGGGCGCACAGCAATTACCGACACTCCTGCATCGGTCGCTCTTGCCTGGTCACGGTCATCAATGGATTCACCCACCACCACCGCAGCGGAGTTTTCGCGATACACCGCAGCAAGTATGTCGGCGCGATTCCGGGCGCGGGTGATGTCGTGCTCGTCGATCCTGGCTGAGGCTTCAATCACTACCCAAATCGGCTGATTGTCGCTGGATTGACGGCCATACAGGACCATATCCGCCAACCCGACCTCTTGGTCGGAACTCCGCTCTACTGTACCGGCCAGCTCCGCTTGTCGGATGTCATTGATGCGGTCTTGTGCCAAATTGATCCCTGGGCCGACGATCGTGTCACAATGATATAGGCCCATATGCTGAATCACGTTGGGGACAATCTTACGTGCGGCAGTGATCTCGAATACTTCGCCCCGTACGGCGCCCAGCTGGCTTTCGACCCGGTCCAGCCGCCGGTTCGTCCGCGTCTGCTCGGATTTCACCTCCACCATGTCGGCCTTCAATTCGGCGACGCCGGATTTCAGGCCGCTTACATCGGTTTCTATGCGTCCCAAGCGTTCGTTGACAACCTGGAATTGCTCCGCGGTTTGCCGGGCCAATTCCTCTACCGTTTTCGTCAGTGCCGCCATAGTTTCCGGCAGCCGCAGCAACTCCTCCGTGAGTACCAGCCCGCGAATGGTGCTGAGCCATTCGGGTCTCTCTTGAAGGATCCTGGCCAGATCGCTGATGTCGTTGATGGTGGTCATCGGCCAATGCTTCCTAGCAGCCCATCACTTCGATAGCATGATGCAGTCAATGAAATTATTTCGATTGGTCGGATTATTCGATTGATCGAAATATTCGAACCAATTATAACCCGAACCAACCGCGCTCGTTTGACGCCCGCCCACGGCCGGCGTAGCATTACGTTACCTGATAATGCAAGTTCCAACCCCCGGGAGGCGCTGATGACGACCGTACCAAACAATACCGACGAAATCCGCCAGGCCGTCCAGGAACACTATGGCCAGCGCGCCTTGCGGGTGATCCAGTTGACCGACGTGACGCCGCCGCAAGCCGCGGGATGCGGCGCGGAGGATTGCGGCCACGGGACCTGTGGCGCCGACGACTGTGGGCATGACGCGATGGCCTGCGGTTGCGGCGATCCTGCCGCCGCTGCCGCCTGCTGTAGCCCCGCCGACACCGAGCACGCCATGACCCTGTACCAGGAAGCCCAACTCCAGGGCTTGCCCGTTGAAGCGATGGCGGCGTCGGCCGGCTGCGGCAACCCCACGGCCCTGGCTGACCTCCGCCCCGGCGAAACCGTGCTCGACCTGGGCTCCGGCGGAGGCATCGACTGTTTCATTGCCGCCGAACAGGTGGGCGAATCCGGCAAGGTCTTCGGGCTGGACATGACACCGGAGATGCTTGCTCTCGCCAACGCCAACCGCGACCGCATGGGCGTGCACAACGTCGAGTTCGTGCAGGGCCATCTCGAGGACATCCCCCTGCCCGATTCCAGCGTCAACGTCGTGATCAGCAACTGCGTCATCTGCCTTTCCCCCGACAAGGATGCGGTGTTCCGCGAGGCCTTCCGCGTTCTGACGCCGGGCGGCCGGCTCCATGTGTCGGATATGCTGGCCCTGACCGAGGAAGGCCCGCTCCTGACTGACGCCGAGTCCTGGGCCTCCTGCATCGGTGGCGCCGAGTACCGCGGCAGTTATCTGGCTCGCATGGAATCCGCCGGCTTCGTGAACATCGCCACCATCGACGAGGCCATCCGCTGCGACGAGGACGATGTTCCCCTCAACGTCGCCAGCGTCAAGGTATCGGCTCACAAACCCCAGTAGTCCGGTAGATTTTCCACCAAACTTCGGGACGGGGCGGCCTCATAGGCTCGCCCCGTTCCATCCCGACTCTGCCATCCTCCCGCATTGCGCGTTATAATGCCGTGGGTTTGCAGCAATATGCCTATTGAGATGGTCCAGAATGTCCGAATCACCGCAAGATAGTACCGTGGACAACTACGCCCGGCAGTTTATGCCGCCCGAGCGTCGTGCCCGGTTGAACGACCAACCGCCCGTGGCCGACCCCGTTGAGGAAACTGTGGCGGTGGCGGATACACCCCCGGCGAGTGGCGAGGCAGTCCCCGAAGCCCCGGTGGTCCCCGACAGCGTGGCCCCGACCCCGCCGGTGGAGACTACTCTCTCTGAACCACCGCCCGCGCGTTCCACATCCGATAACGGCGCGCGGCCCGTCGCGGCGGCTCCGGCGCCCGAGCCGTGGCAGGACGCCGCCGACGAGGATGAGGCCGCTCCGGCATACGTCGAGGCCAACGACCTTTTCAAGATCTACAAACCGGCTGACCTGGAAGTGGTCGCCCTGCGTGGCGTCGATCTCGAGATCCGGGCCGGCGAGCTGATCGGTATCGTCGGCGCCAGCGGTTCCGGCAAGACCACCCTCCTGAATATCCTCGCGGGACTCGAACGCCCGTCGGCCGGCCGTATCCGTGTCGGCGAACGCGACCTGCTGGACATTACCGACCAGGACCTGGTGGCCTACCGCCGCCGCGAGGTCGGGTTCGTTTGGCAGGCCACCGGCCGTAACCTCGTGCCATATCTGAGCGTACGCGACAACATCGAGCTGCCGCAGGCCATCGCCGGCGTCGGCAAGAAGCAGCGCCGCGAACGCGCCGAAGAACTGCTGGAAGCCCTCCAGATGTCCGACAAGTCCCGCCGCTACCCGTCGGAGCTTTCCGGCGGCGAGCAGCAGCGCGTGGCCATTGCCGTTGCCCTGGCCAACAACCCGCCCTTGCTCCTGGCGGACGAACCCACCGGCGAGCTGGACACCAACATGGCCGAGGAAGTTTTCCGGATGCTCCAGCGCATCAACCGGCGGTTCGGCGTCACGATCATCATCGTTACCCACTACGCCGGCATCGCACACTGGGTGGACCGGGTGATCCGTATCCGCGATGGTCGCATCGGCTCCGAGTCCTACCTCATGTCTTCCTATCGAGGCGACGAGGGCCGCGAGGAAGAGTACCTGGTGGTTGACCGCGCCGGCCGCCTCCAGTTGCCCCGCGAATACGTGGAGCAGCTGTCGCTGGAGGGACTGGCCACCGCGGGCCTGGACGAGGATACCGGCTCCATAACCCTGCGCCCGGCCACGGCGCCCCACCGCAGCCGGGAGAGGTGGGAGACCCTTGCCGACAACTAGCCGGCGCGCCCCGGACATCGCGAGTTGCGATAACCCCCGATGATTGAGGTAGCCCCTGATGGTTGAGGTAGCCAGATGGCGGAGATGACTGCGGCGCTGGCCGCGGAATCGGTCGTCCGCGAGTTCGGCGACGGAGACAGCGCCGTTCGCGCGGTCAACGAGGTCACTCTCAGCATCTCGCCCGGCGAATTCGTTGCCCTCGTGGGACGGTCCGGATCCGGCAAGACCACCCTGCTGAATCTGCTGGCCGGACTCGACCGCCCCAGCTCCGGCAAGGTGTGGTTCGAAGGACGCGAACTGTCCCAGATGCCGGAACGCGACCTGGTCGGCCTCCGTCGTGACCGCATTGGCTTCGTGTTCCAATCCTTCGGGCTGATCCCCCTGTTGTCGGCCTTTGAAAACGTGGAACTGCCCTTGCACATCGCCGGCATGTCCTGGCGTGACCGACGCCGTCGCGCCAACGAGGCCCTGGACCTGGTGGGACTTACCGGCCGCTCCGGCCATCGTCCCTACGAGCTTTCCGGCGGCGAGCAACAGCGTGTCGCCATCGCCCGCGCCCTGGTCGCCGATCCATCGGTTCTCTTCGCCGACGAACCCACCGGCGAGCTCGACAGCGTTACCGGTCAGACCATCGGCGGTATCATGCGCGATATCGGGGCCAGTCGAGGCGTCACCGTCGTCACCGCCACTCATGATTTGCTGCTCGCCGATATGGCCGACCGCCGCCTTCAGATGGCCGACGGGAGTATCGCGTCGGTGGACGGCGCGCCGTAGGCCCGACCTCCATCACACGCTCCGGGTCGCCTCGACGTTTGCGGCTCTCCGTAAGGGCGTGTTATAGTCTGGCCTACTTACGAGTATCCAAGAACACGTAATCGGGAGCATGGCATGGCTTACGTAACGCCGCGAGACGGCGAAACCCCCGAGAGTATGGTCAACCGATTCCGGGCGTCTGTACAACACGCCGGTATCCTGCGTGAACTGAAGGACCGCCGGTTCTTCCGGTCCAAGGCGCAGAAGGAACGACTGGCCGCCCAGCGGGCAGCCCGCCGACGCCGCCGGCAGCGGCGCTAGGCCATCTACGGCTGGCGCAAGGTCAGCTTGGGCAAATTGACCGGCTGCGGGCGCGATGCTAGACACCGCCCGCGCCAAAATCAGAACGGTTCTGCCGGACGCGCTTGGCCCGGCGGCGTTCTTCATATTCAAGGAGGGCAGGTTTGCCGCGCTACGATTATCGCTGTACGGAGTGCTCCACCGAGTTCGAGTTGGTTCAGAAATTCAGTGAGGCCGGCCAGGGAGAATGCCCGTCGTGCAGCGGCGCCGGTCAGCGTGTCTTCCACGCGGTGCCGGTGATCTACAAGGGCAGCGGCTTCTACACCACCGACTACGGCCGGCCCAAACGCCCCGTAGAGAAAGAGGACAGCAAGGAATCGGCCTCAGAATCCTCGTCCTCGTCGTCCAACGGCAGCAGCGAAGGAGAGTCCAAGTCAAGCGACTCCGGCTCCTCCTCGGACACGCCGGCGCCGGCCGCAGCCGCCAGCGGCGATTCCGCCTAGCCCATCGCCCTCAGCGAGTTGACCCGACGGGCCGCGCTTACGGGCGCGGCCTTTACGTCGCGGGTTACATACCCAAGTAACCACAAGGCGGGGACTAGAATCCCTGCCTTTCGGCTACTTTAATCCATGTTCACCCTAAATTGGGTTGTTCAATCCGATCCTAGACCCGGTTCATTCCGTGGTTACGGCTCTACGTCCCCATCCCGGTGATAGAGGTGGGCGACACGTCGGTCCCGGCAATTGGCGCGGCCGGTAGCAACTCAAAGAAACCGGGAATCACTGCTGCGAGAATCTCGCAAACCCCGGACCGGTTAACACGCCAACGAAACCACCCACGAACAAGGTCACGCAGTGGGAGAGTACCGCTGCTAAGGATTCGACAGCCTCACTTGGCTTTTCGACTCGATCGACATAAATCGCTAGTCCTATAGCTGATACAAGGCAAAGGACCGTCAAGATAAAAATCAAGAGAACAACTAGGGCGTAGAGCTTACCTAGCGCAATTTCACTTGGTTGCTGATTCACTGTCCAGCCAAACGTCACCAGTGCGGTAGTCTACCCGCATCGGCTTGGCGCCATGTTTCAGCGAAAAAAGCAGGATGCGACCGGATGCTAGAGCCATAGCCACTACGGGGTGCTTGGCAGTGCCCATTGGACGTTCGGCGACAGCAGAGTCGTTGAGTTCCATTGTCGACACCTCCTAGTCAGGGGGCATATCATGATTGTTGCTTGCTAGGCAATTGCCGTCGAGTCAACCCCTTCGCAGCACTATAGCACGGTAATACGATAGCATCGAAATATCAGATCGATTCGTTCAACATTCGATATCGTTGAATGGCGCCTCTGAGGGACCCTGCATAGGATTAGAACGTCTGCCCTTTGGTTACTTTGCGATATGATTCCCTTTCCATTGGTTGCCACGCATTGCCGATCCCATGCGCGCGCTGATCCAGCGGGTAACGTCAGCATCCGTCACCATTGACGGCGCCGACATTGGCCACATCGGCCCGGGCCTGGTGGTTCTACTGGGCGTCGCCCGTGGTGATGACGACGGCGACGCGCGCTACCTGGTCGACAAGATCGTCAATATGCGCATCTTTGCCGACGATCAGGGCCGCTTAAACCTGTCGGCCCTCGACGTGGGCGGAGAGTTGTTGGTCGTGTCCCAGTTCACCCTCCACGCCGACACCCGCCGTGGCCGGCGACCCGATTTCACCGCTGCCGCCGACCCCGAATCGGCCAACCGCCTCTACGAACAGGCCGTGGCAATGTTCCGGGAATCCGGCCTCACCGTGGCCACCGGCGAGTTCCAGGCATACATGCAGGTCGCCCTGCAAAACGACGGCCCGGTTACCATCATGGTTGACAGCGCCGACCGCGGTCGCCCTCGGCGCGGCTAGCCGGTCTTATCGCTGGCGGCCGGGGTCTACCGGTGCCAGCCCATTCCCTTGTACATCCCGCGCAGGAAGGCGATCTGCCCGCCGTGGGAGACGCAGTCCCAGGTCATCTGACCCAATGCCGCCGCCACCGTGCGCGGTTCCGACACCGGCGGGATGATCTTCGCCTGCTGCATCTGGGCTTCCGTCAGTCCCGGCAGGTATTGCCGCAGCGCCGAGCGCACCTGCTCGAAGTACTCCATCTGCAAGGCCCGTGACGGCGGTTGCCAGTCGCAGACCATCTGGTGCGTCCAGCCCAGCCCCCGGTTCTCGCCGTCCGCCGGCATCCCGTAGTGCTGCTCCCAGTTGTTCGTGTCCCAGATCTGCGGCAGGTCCCTCAGCCGGGTGTTAATGAACGAATCCATCACCCGGGACAGGTGCCACAGGATCCAGGCCACCGAGTTGCAGTCGTCGGCCGGAATGCGGAGCAGTTCGTCGTCGTCCAGGTCTTTCAGCGCCAGATCGACGGTGGTGAAGTTGTTTTCCAGGGCCGAAATGAGGCCGTCGGCGGCAGCGGGCATGGTGGTCGCCTCCTGGTTGTGGGTGAAGGGAAACGTGCTCAGGGAAACGAACTCTAGGATAACAGTTACGGGGGCTGCGTACACGGTTTCGGTGCATCCTCCCGCCTGCCGGGACTATACTATCGGTAATCCCCAGCCATCAATAGCAGGACAAATCCAGATGAGCAGTCTATCTCCTGAACCGGCTCCTGACGGCAATCCATTAGCCCGCGCTCGTGAGCTTCGTGACCAGCTCTGGTTCCACAACGAGCGTTACTACAACGACGACGCTCCCGTGATCAGTGACGGCCAGTACGACGCGCTGATGCAGGAACTCCGCGACCTGGAGGCCGAACACCCCGAGGTCCGTTCCGCCAGCTCTCCCACCCAGCTCATCGGCGGCAGCGCGTCCGATCGCTTCCCCCAGGTACAGCATCCAATTCCCATGCTGAGCCTGGCCAACGCCTTCAGCCGGGACGACCTGGAGGCGTGGCACCGCCGCGTCACCGACCTCTTGGACGGCCAGACCTTCCGCATGGTGGCCGAGCTCAAGATCGACGGCCTGGCGGTGCGCCTCGTCTATCGCGAAGGAGCATTTGTCCTGGGAGCCACCCGCGGCAACGGGCAGACCGGGGAGGATGTCTCCCGCAACCTGCGCGAGGTGGAGAGCATCCCCCACGCGCTCCACGGCGATTTCCCCGCCGATCTGGAAGTACGAGGTGAGGTGTACCTGCCGCTGGACAGCTTCCAACGCATGAACGAGGAGCGCGCCCGCAACGGCGAGCCGCTCTACGCCAACCCCCGTAACACCGGCGCCGGCACCATCCGCCAGCTGGATCCGGAGGTTACCCGCAGCCGCAACATGCAGATCTGGACCTACAGCTTCAACGACGCCGGCGAAGCGTCCATGCCCGCCGGCCACTGGGCCGCCCTGGAACGGCTGCGCTCCTACGGCTTCCGTATAAATCCCGAGAACAGTGTCTTCAACACCGTGGACGAGGTTTGCGAGTTCTACGATGATATGCTGGCCCGCCGACATGACTGGAACTATGAGGCCGACGGCGTCGTGGTCAAGGTCGACAGCCTCTCCCAGCAGAACTCCCTCGGCTTTGCCGGCCGTGAGCCCCGCTGGGCCATCGCCTACAAGTTCCCCGCCGAGCGCGCGACCACCCACCTGTTGCACATCGACATCAACGTAGGGCGCACCGGCGTTCTTACCCCGCAAGCTATCCTGAAGCCGGTGGTAGTCAGCGGGGCAACCGTACGGCACGCCTCGCTGCATAACGAAGGAGACATTCACCGCAAAGACATTCGCAAGGGTGACGAGGTGGAGATTGCCCGTGCCGGCGACGTAATCCCCCAAATCATTGCCCCCGTTCTCTGGCCCTGGCGGAAAAACTTGCCAGAATTTCAGATGCCGGAGTACTGCCTAGAATGCCGTACTCGCGTAATCAGAAGCGAACGTACAATCAAGGTTAGAGGCGAGGAAAAAACTAACATCACGCACCGTTGCCCCAACTCAGCCTGCCCGGCGCAGTTTTTCGAGTCGCTGAAGCACTTCGCCAGCCGGGGCGCAATGGATATTGATGGATTGGGCGAACAGTGGTGCCGCATCCTGATTGACCACAAGTTAGTCTTCGATGTCTCGGATTTGTACTCGCTGGCCAGGGAGCAGTTGACCAAGCTGGAGCGCATGGGCGATAAACTCGCCACCCGCATCTTGACCAACATCGAGGCCAGCAAGCAGCGTCCTCTGGCCCGCATCCTCTTCGCCTTGGGTGTTTTTCATGTTGGCGCGGAAGTTGCTGAACTGCTGACCGCCCGCTACGCCAGCATCGAGGACATCGCCGCTGCTAACGCTGAAGAACTCAAGCAAATCGACGGTATCGGCGAAGAGATCGCAAAGAGCATTGCAGATTATTTCGCAACGGAACGGAACCAGCAGACCATCGCCGGCCTGAAGGCTGCCGGTGTTCAGCTCTGGCAGGAACTGGCGCACGTCGACGCGTCCGCGCAGCCGTGGAAGGGCCAGACCTTCGTCATCACCGGCACCCTGACCTCCATGACCCGCCGCGAGGCTGAGGGAAAGGTGAAAGCCCTGGGCGCGGCCACCTCGTCGTCGGTCAGCCGCAAGACCAACTGGGTCGTCGCCGGCGAGTCCGCCGGCACCAAGCTGGCTACCGCCGAACGCCTGGGCGTACCCGTTTTGGACGAGGATGCGCTGGTGGCTCTCCTCGAAGACCCGTCCGCAATCGGCGGTTTCCAGGTCGAGGGCGCGGATGCTGCGGCTGAGCAAGGCGCCCTGGTGTTGTGATAACGTGAGAGTAAGCGATCCGTCCCGAATACGCCGCGAACTACTCCCAAATATAAGCTTTCGACGCTAGAATTCGCCCATTCGAAAAGAATGGCGTTAAATCCGTTGAGAACTGGTACGGACACCGAAATGTCGCTGCTCACCGCCGACCCGCAGGCACTGGGTATCGCCTGCCGGATCCACGAACTGGCCGGAGCCAGCCAGACCATCCTGTTCGGTTCCCGCGCCCGGGGCGATCACCAACCCGGCTCGGACATTGACGTCCTTATCATCAAGGACACCAGGCCCACCGAGCGCTGGCTCGAGAACCTGCGCGAACAGGCAAGGCGGCTCCAGAAAACCCGCCTGCCGCAAGCCTCCGGCATCGACGTGCTGTGCATGACCGAGGCCGAATTTATGAGAGACCGACGCCTCAGAAACCACTTGGCCAACTCAATAGCCAAACAGGGATTTCAAATCATGCCGGAAGAAAGACTGGATCGTCCCAGCGACAGCCCGGAGGAGCGGACCAATTGGCAGGACGTCCGCGACCGGCTCAACGACGCCACCGATGCGGCCGAAGATCTTCAGTTGTGGCGCAACTCTGGTCTCGTTGCACAGATGTCCGACAAAGGAGTGGGGAGAGCCGGCCAGACCGCCCTCGAAAACGTCTACAAAGCCATGCTTGGTGCCCACGGGTTCGAATATCCCGTCAGCGGCAGGGACGGCCACAACCTGCGTATTCTGGTCGACCGGATACGTCGTGACCTGGATTGGCCCTCAGACCAACCGGTTCCGGGAGAAGAACACCAGTATCTCAGCGAGTTCGGCGGCGCCGGTCTGTACGCCAGCGAACATCCTGCCCTCGACAAAATGGGCATTGCCACCGACATTCCACAAGCCGTCGAACAGCTAAAAAACGTTGTCCAACGAGCCATGCCCGGGGTCTCATAGCCACCCCGCGCACTGCTCCAGTCGAATGTTCCCCGGTCTATTGCTCTCGGAAATACCAGGGGATATACCGTTAATGGTTTAAGCTATTATCCATCCAGCAACCGTTCCTTGCACGCGTAGGAACCGGTAGCCCAACTTGCGCGCGAATTCGATCCGGCACGTCACAAACGCGGGGGAAATATGACAACAGAAACCAATACTCCCGTCGAAGAGAGAATCGTCAGTATCCTGCGACAACTGGGCATCGAACGGGCCCATTTCGCTGCCCGAAATCTTGGCGACTGGCGCGGTATGGCCGTGAGTTCTCCCGAGAGCATCGCTTCCCTGACCCTGGTCTGTCCCTTGGGGTTCGATGCCCAGGCGCTGGTGCCCTTGGGCGAACGACTGCTGGTGTTCAACGCCGACCGTGGCGGCGCGACGCAGACCATAGACCGCAACCTTGCGAGCCTGCCGGCCGCAGCAAGCGTCGCCCTGGTCGATTACGCATACCCGAACAACTACGCCGACATTGGAGCGGAACAAGGCAGCCACGTCTCGCCGGCGATGCTGGACTTCCTGTCGAATGCGGACGCGCACAATGGCCCGGCCGGCGTGTCTCCCGCTGTTTCGGAGGGCGAGGTTGACGGCGTCTACTTCAGCGTCCAGGGTTCGGGACCGCCGCTGGTCCTGATGCCGTTGGGGGCCGCCCCGTCCCAATGGGATCCAGTGATGGCGGGTTTCACCGAACGATATTGCGTCGTGACCCTCACCGGGCCCGCGTTGGGCATGGTGGGCAGCCTGGAGGGAAGGGGCCGCACGCCCGGATACCTGTCCGCCGTGGGCAGCCTGATCGAGGCGGCGCAAATCCAGCCCGGCGAGAGGGTCCTGGAGGCCGGCTGCGGCACCGGCGTGCTCTGCCGCTGGGTGGCCCGGGAGACGGCCCGTCAGAACCCCGTCGTCGGTATGGACGTCAACCCCTACTTCCTCCGGGAGGCCGCTGAGATTGTCCGGCGCGAGGGCGTGGGAGATGTGGTGAGCTTCCGCGAAGGCAGCGCCGAGACATTGCCTTTCGAGGACAACAGTTTCGACGTCGTTTTCTCCAGCACCGTCATCCAGCGGGTCAACGCGGACCTGATGCTGCCCGAGTTGGTGCGGGTCGTCAGGCCAGGCGGCAGGATAGCAGTGCTGGGCCACGCCCACGACATGAATCGCTGGGTGAATCTTCCGCTGGGTTCTGCCCTCAAGTCCAGGATCGAGTCGCCCCCGTGGGTCGATGATCCCGGGCATCCCCAGGGTTGCGATGACGCTTCCCTCTACCAGCGTTTCGCGCGGCTGGGGTTGACCAACACCAGGATGTTCCCCTTCATCAGCACCTTCTCGGAGCCGATACGGTTGCAGTTCCTCCAGGGCGGCATCCTGCCCACCCTGAACGCCGAGGAAGCCGCGGAGTGGCGGGCCGCGGCGGACCAGGCGCAGGCCGACGGCACCTTCTTCATATCCACGCCCTTCCACTGCGCGGTGGGAACCAAGCCATAGATTGGCAACCAACCGCAGCCAAAAGGGGAGCGCGGCTGGTACGTAACATGCCCTCGCTCCCCCTCTTGCAACGCCACCCCGCGTGAGTTTGACGGGAGGAGTGGAGTCTGGCGAGTGCGGCAAAGCCGTATCCAGGCATCTATTGGGCGGTTTACGATTGTGTTGTGTCGCTGAAAAGGCCATCGCAACTACTGGAACTGTTAGTCTACGGCCTGTTTACATTCAGATGGGAGACTCTCGGCAAGCCCATCTGACGCCCTTCGCTACACTCGAAAACCAGCCAGGGAGCAACGAGATGTCCACTGACTCCTACCGCCAGAGTGCCCACACCCTGCTCCAAAAGGCCCGAGACGAGCTCGTCGCAGGCGATGCGCGCCAAGCTTCGGAAAAAGGCTGGGGCGCCGCAGCACAGATGCTCAAGGCCATCGCACAGCAAGCCGGCGTCCAGCACCACAGCCACGCCGCCCTCGCCCAAATCGCCAGCAACGTACACGGACAGACCGGAGAGGACAATATCGCCACCTGGTTTGCCGTCGCTCAGAACCTCCACATCAACTTCTACGAGGACCACCTATCCGACGAGTTCGTCCACATCTACCTCAACCAGATCTCCCTTCTGGTCAATCGCCTCGACCGTTACCTCGCCGAAATCTGAATGTAAACACGCTCCAGGAGAACCGAAACCGCGGCGCCTGCAAAGACTGCAATGAGTCGTCCTGACCCATATCTTCGTTTGCGCTGCTCGTCTTCATATACCATTGGTGGCGTTTACGGCATATCAAGGATGAGTATGCCCCGTTGAGGATGCCAAACCGCAACGAGGCGAGCGCGTTCCCTACCGTATCAGCCCGTAAACCCGGTCCGGCTGGACCCTGACAATCACCCCGTCCTGTTGTTTCATCGCGCGGTCGTATTCCTCCCAGTCCGGGTGCTCGTTGTCGCCGCACGCCCTGAACGCCGTGCGCAGCATCTGGCGCATCTCCTCGTCGTCGGTATTTTGGTAGTCGTGCAGGGTGACCGTCCCCTCCGCCACCGCGAACTGCCGCCAGTCCTCCGCCACGGCCATCACGTTGCACCGGTTGTTCCGCCGCAGGTTCCGCACCTTGTAGGATGTCCCCCGCACGGTAACAAAGACAGGACCGTCGTCGCCCTCGAAAGGCGAGACGCCGCATACCACGATGCTGGTCTGCGCCGATCCGTCCTGGCGGAAGGTGTTGATCACGCCCCGGTGGTTGTTCGCGAAAAAGTTCCGCACATCGCTGAATTCCATTGTTGCCTCCGGTTGTCCTGTGTCACTTGCCGATTACTTCATAGATCGTCACGTTGTCCGATGAGAAGGCCGGCTCCAGCCAGCCTTCCGCCGCCCACTGTTCCATCCTTTCGTCAACTTCGTCGCCGTAGGCTTCCCTCTCCCGGGGCCCAACCACCACCCAGCGCACGCCGTAGACTTCCAGCGGGCGCAGCGTCTCTTCTCCTTCGTTTCCCTGGTAGATGGTCTCCACGTCGTGCCCTCGGCCGGCGAACGCGCTGTCATCACCTCGCCACTGGCGCTGGTGACCCTCCCAGCCCAGGACCGTCGCGCGACCCGTGGCGCCCGAGATCCGTCCGTAGTGGCTGTAGCCGTCGCCCACCGCCTCCACAATGCGACCCGGTCCCGCCTCGTTGTTGAGCCAGGTGATGGCGTCGTATTCTCCCGGCTCGCCGCGCCGCAGGAAGTCCAGCCCGGCCAGCGTGTTGTCTCCTCGGCTCGCGCCGTCCTGGAACCACCCGGTGCGGTCCAGCACGGCGGCCACGGGATAGTAGGCCGACGCCAGTATCAGCCCCGCCGCCAGCGCGGCCCACGCCATCCCCGCTGCCTTGTAGATTCCCGTCCGGTAGTCTGCCAGGCGCAGCCGAACCGGACCGGCCACAATGTAATAGATGCCCACCCCGCCGGCAATCCCCAGCAGGACCCACGCCTGGTAGTACACCTTGAATACCGTGTTCATCCGGCTGCCGAACAGGTCCACGATTCGGAACAGCTCCGCTCCGGCCAGCAGGTAGAACCCCGCCGCCGCCAGGATCAGCGCGAACACCAGCCACTGCATCGGCCGCCGGCTTGCCGCCAGCACCAGCCCGCAGTAGGTCGCCAGTCCGCCCATGACCAGCAGGGGTAGTGTCAGCACGATCCGATGCCACACCAGGCCGTCCGCCAACGTCGTGTCGTCCGGCTTGAGCGAAACCACCACCGCCACCGCGATCAGCCAGACGAAAAACGGAGCGATGCTGAATCCCGCCACCGGCCAAACCAGCAGGCGCTTGCCCGCCGTCTGCGCCATCAGCGCCGGCAGTGATCGGGCCACCAGCGCCGCCGCCAGGAACGCCGGCACTCCCATCACCACCAGGAAGTGGAACGGTCGCGTCGCCGGCCCCGTCACCGGCAGTATCCCTCCCGCCTGGCTGTCGAAGGACTGGTAGAAGGGCAGAAACAGCGCCACCCCCGCCGCGACCAGGCCGCCGGCCAGCAACGCGGCCCGTCCCACCGCCAGCGCGAGTATAGATCCCGAAGCCGCACCGTTCGCGTCCGTTTCGACTTCGTCCAGGTGTATGCGCCAGGCTGACCAGCACGCCACCGCTGCCATCGCCACGATTGCCACGTACAGCGGGAAGTCCCAGGCGTTGATGAACGCCAGCGAACCCAGCGCCAGCGCCAGCGCCGCCGCTTCGCCCGGCCGGCGTCGCAGCCAATTCAGGCCGGGCGCGCGCGGCGATACCAGCAACGCCAGGGTCAGCGTCAGGACTAGCGTCACGAAGGGCAGCGACGTTACGTGCGCGTGCAGATCGCCCAGCAGGAAGCTGAAGAACGGGACCTCGGTTATGGTGTAGTCCAGCGACGTCCCCGTTTCCGTCAGCGTGTCTATCACCCGGGTGCCCCGCCACCACCACCAGAACCCGTCGGGAAGCCAACTCTCGCCACCGGACGGCGCTTCCAGTCCCTTTACCGCAACCCAATCCCAGAACCATGCACCGCCCACCCCGCGCACGTAGGCCAGCTCCAGCACGCCGGACAGGTTGCCCAGCATAGTCACTCCCAGTCCGGTGAGCAAGCCCGTGCCCGCGGCCGGCAACGCCCGGGCTCCGGCGAATCGCAGCACGTTGTACACCAGCCCCAGTATCCCTGCGGCCAGCATCGCCGGTATGGTTGCCACCGCCAGGTTGTATGCCTTGTCCGTGGCCACGCCGGTCAGGGTCGACAGCATCGCGGCCACGTAGTGTCCGCCGTAGTAGTAGGCGATGCTGTGGCCCGAGAGCCACTGGTCCTCCGGCGGAAATCCGTCCGAATTCGCGACGGCGTTGAGGATGCCGAAGTCCATCGGCTTTTCCGTGTGGTTGATGGCCGGCGCCTCGCTGATCACCAGCGCCCAGAACGCGAAAACCGCCAGGAACAGCAGCTCCGTGGTCAGCACTACCTTCCAGCGCCGGCGAAAGAAGTCCGCCAGCTCAGCGCGTTGCCGGTACGCCAGCCACCCCGCGCCAATCCCATCACCGCCAGCACGGCTCCGATCCCGACGGCTGAGTTGGGCAGGATCCCCACCGTGCCGCCGATCCATGTCACCCACGCCAGCGCCAGCAGGGCCAGGACCCGTGACACCGCCCAGCCCCGGTCCGCCAGCCGGCCCAGTCCGCACAGCGTGGATCCAACCGGGAACCCGACCAGGGACAGGACCCACAGGGCCACGAGCCAGGCGAGAATGTCCTGCACCGTTAAACGCTCGCCGGAAGTTGGGCGTTGGCCGTAAGGTTAGCTGCTGATCAGAAGTTGGACGCTGGCTGAAACGTCAAGCTGTGGGAGCCAGTAAGGCATCCACGAACTCGCCAGAGTCAAAGGGCGCGATGTCGTCCAGCCTCTCGCCCGTGCCGATGAACAGGATCGGCACCCCCAACGCTCGCCGTATCGACAGCACGATTCCGCCCCGTGCGGTGCCGTCCATCTTGGCCAGGAAGATGCCTGTGCAGCCCACGGCCTCGGTGAACGCCTGCGCCTGCGTCAGCCCGTTGTGCCCGGTGGTGGCGTCCAGCGTCAGCAGCACCTGGTGGGGCGCCGCCTCGTCCAGCCCGTTGATGACCCGCCGCACCTTGCGCAGTTCGTCCATCAGGTTCTGGCGAGTGTGCAGCCGTCCCGCGGTGTCCACGATCAGGATGTCCGCTCCGCGCGCCCGTGCCGCCTGCCAGGCGTCGTAGGCCACCGCGCCGGGATCAGCGCCGTGCTGGTGGCTGATCACGTCCACGCCCACCCGTTCGCCCAATATCTCCAGTTGTTCCTCGGCGGCGGCTCGGAAGGTATCGGCCGCGCCCAGGACCACCTTCTTGCCGGCTCCGGTGAAGTGATGCGCCAACTTGGCGATGCTGGTGGTCTTGCCCACTCCGTTCACGCCGCACACCAGGATCACGTAGGGGGAGGCAACGCTATCGTCGTCTAACCAGGCGTCCGGGTCGTCCGATGCTGACAACTCCACCGCCATCAGCTCCTTGAGCCGGGAAAACGCGCCTTCTCCGTCCGCAACGCTCCCCGACCGGACTTCCGCCCGCAATTCGTCCAGCACCGCCATGGTGGTGTCCACCCCAACGTCCGCCGAGATCAGGATTTCCTCGATCTCGTCCCACACGGTATCGTCCAACTCACGGGACGCGAACAGGTTACGGATCCGCCCAAACCAGCTGTCCCGACTCCGCTTGACCCCGGCGTCGGTCTGCTCGCGGTTCGTCTCTTCCCGGTTGCGCTTGAAGATGGAAAACATAGGGGCGAAAGATTAGCAGCGCCGTCGCCCTGGCGCAACCGGGCCGCGTATCGCGGGCAGTTCAGAGTTGTGGCCCCGTCGCAACTCCAAATCCGTCATACCGGCGGTAGCAGGTATCCAGCAACTTTTCCCGGGTCCCGCTTCCCGATGCGATGTCGACATGCGTCCGGTTCTCGCACGCATGTCGCTGTCCCAATCGAGAGGCTCATCAGGTCCGCACGGTTGTCGGCATTTCGTTCAACCCGGCGATCCGTTCGCACCACTGGGCCGCGCCCAAGACCCTGCCCTCCTGCGCCCACGGCCCGCCGAACTGCACCGCCATGGGCATGCCCAGCTCGCTCAGGCCCGTGGAGACCACCACCGTCGGCAGGCCGGCGGCTGTCCAGGGAACCTGGAACGCCGCGTCGCCGGTGGTGTTCAGGTCCCGCGGCGCCGGCGCCGGTATCGCCGGCGTCATCACGACGTCCGCTTTGGCGACCAATTCGCTCATGTCGGCGCGGAACTGCCGGCGCAGACGCTGGGCTTTATGGTACGCAGTCGTAGGCATGATCATGCCCATCTCCATGCCGGCGCGTATTCGCGGACCGTAGTCGGCGGCGCGGACGCGGTGATTGGCCTCGTGGAATGCCGCGCACTCCACGTTCATCACGATGCGCTGGAAGCTGTGAACCACGGCAAAGCTGTCGGGCAACGGCAGTTCCACAATGTCGGCCCCGGCTGACGCCAGCTGATTCGCCACCGACTCCGTATGCGCCCAGATCTCCGGTGTAGAGTATTCCTGGTAATACTGCCGCACCAGCCCGATGCGTGGGGGCCGGTCATACTCGGCCATCTGCCCGCTGAAGTCGGGCACTGCCTGGCGCAAACTGCCCGGGTCATTGTCGTCCTCGCCGCTGAGCACGGTCAGCATCAGCGCGGCGTCGGCCACCGTGCGGGTCAGGATGCCCACATGGTCCAGCGACCAGCTCACCGGAGCCACGCCGTAGCGGCTGATGCGCCCGTAGGTGGGTTTCAGGCCGACGATGCCGTTGTAGGCCGCCGGACGGCACGTGGAGCCGCCGGTCTGCGAGCCCAGGGCCGCCGGAACCATCCGTGCCGCCACCGCTGCCGACGACCCGCTGCTGGAGCCGCCGGGCGTGTGCTCCAGGTTCCAGGGATTGCGCGTCGGAGAGGGATCCGAGGTCGCGAATTCGGTGGTCACCGCCTTGCCGAGGATGATGCCGCCGGCCGCCTTGATTTTTGCGACCGACGTGGCGTCGAAGTCGGGAACGAAGTCGGCGTACACCTTCGAGCCGCACGCGGTGAGCATCCCGGCGGTATAGAAGATGTCCTTCAATCCCACGGGTACCCCATGGATCGGGCCCAGGGGCTCGCCGCGCTGGACATCGGCCTCCCGCTGCCGGGCCGCCAAGAGCACCGCTTCCCGGTCGACGGTCACCCAAGCCTGGAGGTTACTGTCCAGCGCGTCAATGCGCGCCAACAGCGACTCCGCCAGCGCCACGGGCGAAAGGGTTCCTTCGCGAATTTGCGCGGCGGCTTCCGCCACGGACAGTTCATAGAGTTCGGGCATTATTAAACCTCACTGGCGGAGAAACGGGCAACCTCACTGGCGGAGAAACGGGCGCCGACGCTGGCGCGTGACGCGCTGGCTCACGCCTGAAAGCGGGCCCAGACTATCCCTGGTTCAGCGGCTCCAGGTCCGGATGCACGTCGGCGCGGTCCACGTCGGAAATCTGCCCCGCGGCGGTCCGGAGGTACGACTCCAGCTCCACCGCGCGCTCCTCACCGAACTGGGCGACCGCCCTCCGGCGTAACTCCTGGTAAATCCGCTCCTGGTCATTGCTCTGGCTCATGTTGCCGAAACCTCGTCGCCTGTATAGCGCTGGTGCAAAATCTGGCTCACGCACGGAATTCTAATTGCGCCGACCCTCACGGGCAACCCTGCGGACTGGTTCAGTATTCCTGGCCGACCCGTGCGGAGCCGCGATCACGCCGGCGGCAGCAGTTCGTCGCGCAAACCTCCCGGTCACCGTTTTGACCCGTTCATCGGGAACAAAGCGCAAAGGGCCCGGCGCTTCGTTTGCCGAGCCCTTCTGCTCTCCGGCGTGGTCTGCTCGAACCCGAAGAGCTATCCCCGGTTGTGGGTCTTCGTCTCCGCCCAGGCCACGATATGCGGCAGCGCCGCGTCAACATCGCGCTGGTCAACGTTGCGCGCGGTGGTCGCGGCGTCACAGCGGAGCAGCATTATCGGCAGGCGGTTGCGAATCTTGTCCAGCGCCCAGGCCAGGGGGTCGCCCTCTGCAATGTTGTCCAGCTCGAGCCGGTCGTTTTTGGATATGGCGCGATTGCGGTAGTGGTAGTGCGGGCCGATGCGGAAACAGTCGAACCGCAGCAGCTCCTTGTCGTCGTCCTCGATGTCGTTTCCGTACACATGGATGCAGATACCCTCGTCGCTCATGGCCCCTACGTCGGTGCGGTAAACCAGCCCGAACGTCACCGCTCCCGCCGGGATGAGTTCCTCGCCCCCGCCGGTGCTTCCGCCCATCTGCGCGTGCATTGCCTGTTGCGTCATTTCCGCATACCTCCCTTGGTTATGGCTGATCCGATGCCATATTTCGGTACAGCCGACTGCATTGGCCCGATTATACATTCGCTGCGCTTGAATTCGTCATTAGGAAACATGGCGTATCGGCCGCATAGCCGCCCCGCCGGTTATCGTTCTCGCTCAGCTTCGGACCCCAGGGCATCCCGGAAACTCTGCCACTCCCCATCGCTGGCGCCGCCGTTCCAGTCATCGAAATGGAGCAGCTCCTCCACGGGCAGACGGCGGCGCCAGCCGGCCCTCTGCAACCCCGGCTCGTCGGTGAACTCAACCGGGTAACCCAGGCAGAGGTAGGCCACCGGGATGATGTGCGGCGGTATCCCGAGTATCCCACGCAGTTGCGGCAGCTTGAGGATGCTGACCCAACCGGCGCCGACACCTTCGCTCCGCGCCGCCAGCCAGAGATTCTGCACCGCGCAGCAGGTGGAATACACGTCGGTTTCCGGCATGGAGTTGCGGCCCAGCACCACCTCAGCGCGCGTCGGGTCGCAGGTGATGCACAGGTTCACCGGAGATTCGAGGATACCTTCCAGCTTGAGCGAAAGGTAGGCGGAACGGCGTGGCTCGTCGAAAAAGCACGCGGCGGAAGCCCGTTCCCGGTTGAATAGATCCTTCACCTTCCGCCGGCGTTCCAGGTCCTTCACCAGTATGAAGTCCCAGGGCTGCATGAACCCCACCGAGGGCCCGTGATGCGCCGCCCGTATGATGCGGGCCAACGTTTCGTCCGGTATCGGGTCGGGGCGGAAATTGCGTATGTCCCGCCGCTGGTAGATCGCCCGGTACACCGCCTGCCGCTCCGCCTCCGGAAAGGCGAGGGATGCCCCGTCCACGGGCAAGTTGTCAGATTGGTAAGGTTGTTGGTCCATCCACCCCCCAGCGTGGCGAAACGCGATACGTCATCCCTTGCATGCGACCCGGGAACGCTCCCGTCGGCACGCCGCTGGAACGCCGTCGATTCCGCTGCCGCTATCATACCCACGGAGTTGGGGTTGCGCTAGGATTGCCCCGCTCTCGTATGGGCACACTTTCCAACCTGGCTTTATCCCACCTGGCTACGCCAGGGCGTCCGCTCGAGCGGTTCCCCGGCGGCGCGGTGATAAACTGGAACCATCGCTATCACAACCACGCCACACCCTGCCGTCATTTCGCCACATCGGGAGGTGCGCCATGCCGCCGGAAATTCGCGCCGTAGGAATCGAGGGCCTGCCCGAAGTGCGGGCCGGTGATGACCTGGCTGCCCAGATCATGGACGCCGCCGCCGCCCAGGGCACGCCTGTGGAGGCCGGCGACGTGGTGGTGGTCACCCAGAAAATCGTCAGCAAGGCGGAGGGCCGCGTCATGGCCATCGACGAGGTCGAGGCCTCGCCCCTGGCCATCGCCATCACCGAGGGCCACCGCCGCGACCCGCGCCACACCGAGATGATCCTCCGCGAGAGCCGCCGGGTCGTCCGCATGGACCGGGGCGTCATCATCAGCGAGACCTACCACGGCTACATCTGCGCCAACGCCGGCATCGACGCCTCCAACATCCCCGGGTCCGATACCATCTGTCTGCTCCCCGTGGACCCCGACGCCTCGGCCCGCGGGATCCGCGACAGCATCCGCCAGCGCCTGGGCGTGGACGTGGCCGTCTTGGTGTCCGACACCTTCGGCCGCCCCTGGCGCAACGGCGCGGTCAACGTGTCCATCGGCGTCGCCGGCTTCAACCCCGTCATCAGCTACATCGGCGAGTTCGACCCTCACGGCAACGAGCTGCACACCACCACCATCGCCGTCGCCGACGAGATCGCCGCCACCGCCGAGCTGGTCACCGGCAAGCTCCTGGGCGTACCCGTTGCCCTCGTCAAGGGCTACCCCTACGAACCCATGGAAGATGCCGACTCCCACGCCATCGTCCGGGACCCCGATAAAGATTTGTTCCGGTAATGCCAATTGACCCGCGAACGGCCCATTAGATAACATCGTGCCGGTTGGAAGATGCCGATGACCACCCAGCACGAAATACTCAGGGCTGCGACCCAACGTGTTGCGTTGGGCCCGCGAGCGAGCCGACCTTACGACGGACGAATTGGCGCGCAAGGTCAATCTGAAGGCCGAGCGTGTCCAAGAGTGGGAGAGTTCCGGCGCAATCAGCATGACCTGGGCCGAACGGCTGGCCGCCGCCACGCATAGCCCGCTGGGTTTCCTATTCCTTTCCTTACCTCCCTATGAAACGTTGCCCATAGGCGACTTCCGCACCCGTGCCGGCGACACGCCGCCGAACCCCAGCTCAGAATTGCTTGAAACCGTTTATGCGATGCAGCATCGAAGCGAGTGGCTGCGGGAAGAACTGATGGATACAGGTGCGGAACCGGTGACCTTGGTCGGAGCGTATCGCTCGGGTAACAATCGTGAGGACGACGCCAGTGCGATGCGTTCCGCGTTGGGCCTCCCACAGGATTGGGTGGCGCCAGCCCAGACCTGGTCTGATGCCATCGGGCTCCTACGCGATTACGCTGAGGCTGCCGGCATACTGGTGGTTTTCAATGGAGTCGTGGGCAACGACACCAGTCGGAAGCTCGAAGTTGACGAGTTTCAAGGATTTGCCTTGTTAGACGAGTATGCCCCACTCATATTTGTGAACAACGCTGATTACAAGGCGGCGCAAATGTTCACCATCGCTCACGAACTGGCCCATCTGTTCGTCGGAGAAGGTGGTGTTTCTGCGACCGCGTCCCTGCTACCGGTCGAGCATGACGTCGAACTACTATGCAACGGGATAGCCGCGGAGTTTCTGGTGCCGGAGGCTGACCTGCGGTCCCTGTGGCCGCATGTTGCAGAGCGACCGGATCCTTACCAACAAACGGCGCGGCATTTCAAGGTCAGTCAGGTCGTAGCCGCCCGCAGATCTCTGGACTTGGGGTTGATCGATCGCCCGACCTTCTTTGACTATTACGCTCAGCACAAAACACAAGGTAATCGAAGTCAACAGTCCGCTGGCGGGGGCAATTTCTGGAATACCCAGCGTTGGCGCATTGGTGTTCGTTTCGCGACAGCAGTGGTTCGCGCGGTGAGAGCGGGGCGCTTGTCCCATCGTGAAGCGTACGCGCTGACTGGATTGCGAGGCTCTACCTTCGAGAGTATGCCGAGCAAAATGGGTATCGGGTTGTGAGGCGCCAGCAAGAAAATGTGTACCTGCCAGATACGAATGTGCTGGTGGCGGCCCACCATCACTACTACGCCCCCGACCTGTGCCCCGGATTCTGGGAATGTTTGGATCACTACCTGGCCTCTGGCTATCTATCGATCATTGACCGCGTATACGATGAGATTGCTTCGCCCGCTCAACTGGTTCAGTGGGTGGAACGGGCGACTAATGATTCGTTGCCGAGCACCGGCACGCAACCTGTTGCGGAGGCGTATCGTCGACTGATCGACTGGGTTCAAGACAACCCCCAATTCAGTTCCGCCGCCCGTAACGAATTCGCGGGAGCGGCCGACGGCTGGTTGGCCGCTTATGCCATGGCAAACGGCGCAATCGTCGTGACCAACGAGGTTTCTGCGCCTCAAGCGAGGCGCAGGGTGCCGCTACCGGACCTCTGCCGACAGTTTGATATTCCGTGCGTCAACACCTTCGAGATGTTGCGGAATCTCGGAACCCAATTCCAATGGATTGGTCCCTGACTGCGGCGTGTGATATCCAAGTTACGCGGCACAAGTTTAGGTGTCGCTGCCGCACCTGCAAAAACCCTCTACCCGCGATCCGGCGCACCATCATCTAACGCCAAAAACGCGGCCCCGTCCTCAGACAGGGCCGCTCCCTAAAATCGGTTTGGCCGAAGCCTTACACCACCCCCGCCAACTCCTCTTCCCGCTCCGGCGCCACGCCGGCCTGAACCCGCAGCTCCAGACCGTCCCCCGCCTCGTTCACGTCGGCGATGATGTGGTCGCCCTCCTTGAACTCGCCCGACAGCACGCCCCGCGATAGCTGATTTTCGAGGTGCCGCTGGATCGCGCGGCGCAGGGGACGCGCCCCGTAGCTCACGTTGAACCCTTCCTTCACCAGCCAGTCGCAAGCAGCCTCGGTCAACTCGCAGGTGATGTCCCGCTCCGCCAGCCGCTTCTGCACCTCGGCCACCATCAGCCCTACGATCTCGCCGATCTGCGCCCGGCTCAGCGGGTGGAACACGATGGTCTCGTCGATGCGGTTCAACAGCTCCGGCCGGAATGCCCGTTGCAGGGCGTCTTGCACTGAGCGTGATAGCTCCGGCGTCACCTTCCCTGCCTCCTGCTCCCGGTCGGCGGTGGGGCTGAGCCCGAAGGGTCGCTGCGACAGGTCGCCCGTGCCCAGGTTGCTGGTCATGATGATCACCGTGTTGCGGAAGTCCACCGTGCGACCCTGGCCGTCGGTGAGCCTCCCGTCCTCCAGGATCTGCAGCAGCAGATTGAACACGTCCGGATGCGCCTTCTCGATCTCGTCGAACAGGATCACCCGGTGGGGCCGCCGCCGCACCGCCTCGGTCAACTGGCCGGCGTCGTCATACCCCACGTAGCCTGAGGCGCGCCGATCAGCCGCGACACCGTGTGCCGCTCGCCGTACTCCGACATATCCAGCCGTACCATGCTGTCCTCGTCGTTGAAGAGGAACTCAGCCAGCGCCCGGCTCAACTCGGTCTTGCCAACCCCGGTGGGTCCCAGGAAGATGAAGCTGCCGAAGGGACGCTTGGGGTCGTTCAGGCCCGACCGCGCCCGGCGTATGGTGTCCGCCACCGCGTTGATGGCCTCGTGCTGCCCGATCACCCGCTGGTGCAGGTGCTCCTCCATGTGCAGCAGCCGGTCGGCCTCGCCTTCCATCAGCTGGCCCACCGGTATGCCCGTCCAGTTGGACACCAGGTCGGCGATGTCTTTCTCGTTCACCACCAGGTCCGGCCCCGTGGTGTGCTCGATGGCCTCGTGCTCGGTATTCAGCTCCCCCTCCAGGCGCAGCCGCTCCGTGCGGTACTGGGCCGCCCGTTCGTAATCGGACAACTGGTTGGCCCGTTCTTCCAGGTCCGTCAGTTCCCGCCGCCGGTTTTCCATGCCCTGCAGCTTGGGCGGCAGCATGCCCGCGTCGATCCGCACCTTGCTGCCCGCCTCGTCCATGAAGTCGATGGCCTTGTCCGGCAGCTTGCGGTCGCTGATGTAGCGGTCGCTCAGGCGCACCGCCGCCGCGATGGCCCCGTCGGTGATGGTCACCCGGTGGTGGGCTTCATAGCGGGGTTTCAGCGCCTCCAGGATGGACAGCGCCTGCTCCGGCGTCGGCTCCTCCACGTACACCGGCTGGAACCGCCGCGCCAGCGCCGGGTCCCGCTCGATGTGTTTGCGGTACTCGTCCAGCGTCGTCGACCCGATGGCCTGCAACTCGCCCCGCGCCAGCGCCGGCTTGAGCATGTTGCTTGCATCCAGGCCGCCCTCGCCGCCTCCCGCGCCCACCAGCGTGTGCATCTCGTCCAGGAAGACGATCACTTCGCCATTGGACGACGTCACCTCGTCGATAACCGACTTCAACCGCTCCTCGAACTCCCCACGAAACTTGGCCCCTGCCACCAGCCGGCCCATGTCCAGCGCCATCACCCGCTTGTTGTGCAGCGAGTCGGGCACGTCGTCGCAGATGATCTTGCTGGCCAGGCCCTCGGCAATGGCCGTCTTGCCCACGCCCGCCTCGCCGATCAACACCGGGTTGTTCTTGGTGCGCCGGGTTAGGGTCTGCATCACCTGCCGGATTTCCTGGTCGCGCCCCACCACCGGGTCCAGCTTGCCGACGCGCGCCAGCTCGGTCAGGTCCACGCTGTACTTCTCCAGCGAGCGGTAGCGCTGCTCCGCGTTCTGGTCGTCCACCCGGTGCGACCCGCGCAGCTTCTGCATCGCCTGGTACACCATCTCCTGGTTGACGCCCAGCTCCCGGAACAGCCGCGCGGAATCGCCGGCGTCCTCCCGGGCCGCCGCCACCAGCAGGTGCTCCACGCTGATGAACTGGTCCTTCAGCCGCTGGGCCTCCTCGTCCGCCAGCTGTAGCATCCGCTGTAGCCGTGGCGTGATGAAGATCTGTTGCGAGCCCGAGACCACTTTCGGCACGCCGTCCAGCGTCTGGTGCAGCCCGCTCTTGATCAGCTCCGGATCAACCCCCAGCTCCTTGAATATCTGCTCGGGTAGCCCGTCTTCCAGCGCCACCAGGGCCAGCAGCACGTGCTCCACGTCCCACTGGCTGTGTTGGTAGTTCCGCACCAGTTCCTGGGAGCGTTGCAGCGCTTCCTGCGCCTGTCTCGTGAATTTATCCGCGGTCATCACCATATCGGTTACCTCCTGATTGAATTATTGCGTGTCATGCCGTCGTCGGCCGCGCGCAGTCGGACCACTTCGTTGGTCAATGTTTCCACCTGGTTCTCCAGTTCAGTTATGTGGTCGATCAGCTTCAGCGCCACCTCCGCGCCTGCCAGGTTGACCCCCATCTCGTCGGTGAACGTCTTTATCTTGCGCAGCCGGTCCACGTCGGCCATGGAGTACAGTCGCTGCCGTCCGCCCGACCGTGAGGGAAATACCAGCCCCACCCGTTCGTAGTAGCGCAGGGTCTGCGCGTGCAGCCCCACCATCCGTGCGGCCACGCTGATTACGAAGCAGGGTTCGGTCTCGAAGTTGCTGTCCGGCGTCATTGCTCTGCTCCCGGTCCCGCTTCGCGCAGCTGCTCGAAAAGGCCCCGCTGCTCGTCCGTGAGGTCGGTCGGCAGTGACACGTTCACCACCGCGAACAGGTTGCCCCGCTTCTCCGGGTCGTTCAGCCGGGCCATGCCCTGGCCGGCCAGGCGGAAGCGGCGCCCGTTCTGCGTTTCCGGCGGCAGCGTCAGCTCGATCTGCCCGCGCAGTGTTATCACCGTCGCCATCCCGCCCAGTACCGCGTCGACCAGCGGCACGTCCACGGTGGTGTGCAGGTCGTCGCCCTGGCGCTCGAACCGCCCGTGCGGCGTCACCGACACCAGCAGGTTGAACTCCCCGCCGGCGTTGCTGCCCGCCGCGATGTGCACCCGTCCGCCGTCGACGATCCCGGCGGGTATCCTGACTTCCAGCCGACGCCCGTCGGGCAGGCTCACCAGCCGCGTCGTCCCCCGGTCGGCCTCCTCCAGCGTGATTTCCACTTTCACGTCTGCCGGCCGCGACCGGTTCCGGTCGCCGGCATTGCCCCCCATTTCAGAGGCGAACCCGCCCATGCCTCCCAACAGATCCGACAGGGTTGCGCCGCCGGCTCTGAAGTTGAACCCGCCGCTGCCTCCGCCGAAATTGCCTCCTCGGAAGAATTGGGAAGGTCCGGCGCCGCGTTGCTGCTCGAAATGCTCGGCCTGCTCCCAGCGGTCGCCATAGCGGTCGTACTTGGTCCGCTTGTCCGCGTCCGATAGAACCTCGTAGGCGGCGTTGATGCTCTTGAACCGCTCGGCCGCGCTTTCATCGCCCGGGTTCACGTCCGGATGGTGCTGACGCGCCAGCCGGCGATACGCCTGCCGGATGTCCTTTTCGTCGGCGTTGCGTGAAACCCCCAGGGTGTCGTAATAGTCAGTCATTCCGGCGCCTGCCTGCATGAAGGTGGTGTCAATACCAGCATATACAGCGATGGGCTACAGGTCAATAAACTTGGTATAGCACCATCAAGTTTGTATAGCGACATCACCGGCAGCGGCAACGGCCACTGAAGTCCTCGGCCAATGAGCCGATGCTCCTGGAGGATAGATTATGACGACCCTGCAACGATTTAACCCCTTCCGCGAGATGCGCCATTTCAACCGCCGGTTCAACGGTTCCCGGTGCTCACGCGTACCCGCTTTGCAACATCGGCCATTGTGAGCGACCCCCGGGTCATTGCGAGCGCAGCGTGGCAATCTCGTCGCTGGAGGTATCTTCGCTCAATTCAACGAGATCGCCACGTTGCTGCGCTCCTCGCGATGACAAAGTGGGTAAGCGTGAGGTCGCATTCATGTTGCGCCGTCTTTGACCCTGCGTCATAATGCCCGAAGATTGGGCCCCACCTGATGCCCACATAACCGGAGGGATGTTCTATGCCACAAGCCGGTATTCCGTCGGAGCAGGAAGTCCTTGGCTGGTTCGACAGCCTGTCCAACTGGGGTCGATGGGGCGATGACGACGAGCTGGGAACGCCCAATCTGATCACTTCCGAGAAGACCCGCCAGGCCTTGGCAACCGTTCAGGAAGGTCTTTGCGTCTCTCTGTCTCGGGACGTAACCTGGGACCCGGCCCCGGATGTTCCGGCACCCCCGGTGCACTACATGATCGAAAGCGGCGAGGGCTGGGCCACTGGCGACAAGGTTTCCAACCGCCCCTCCGCCGTGGCCATGGACTATATCGGCATGATCTTCCACGGAGTATCCGTGACCCACGTCGATAGCCTGGCCCACTTCTTCTGGAACGGCAAGACCTACAATGGCAAGCCGGCCCACATGGTGTCCACCAGCCTTGGCGCCACCGTGTGCTCCGTGGAACAGGCCAAAAACGGCTTCATCACCCGCGGTGTTCTGGTGGACGTGCCGCTCGTCCGCGGCATCGACTGGGTGGAGCGCGGCGAAGGCGTCATGCCCGACGATATCCTGGCTGCCGAGGAACGTTGCGGGTTCCGCATCGAACCTGGCGATGTGCTCCTGGTGCGTACCGGGCAGTTGCGCCGCCGGGCAGTTGAAGGACCGGTCCCGCGCGAGGCCGGCTCCACCGCGTGCCAGGCCGCCTGCCTCCCCCTGTTCCGGGAACGTGACATCGCCGTCCTCGGTTCCGACACCGGCAACGATGTGAGTCCGCCGCAGTATCCCGGCCAGCTCACCAACCCGGTGCACCAGGTATCCATCACCGCCATGGGCCTGTGGATCCTGGACAACGCGAACCTGGAGGAGGTCGCTGAGGCGTGCCAGGAACGCAACCGCTGGACCTTTATGGTCAGCATCAACCCTCTCCGTCTCCAGAACACCACCGGATCTCCGGTTAACCCGGTGGCGGTGTTCTAGCCGGTAACGACCTTCGACGGCGACGAGTCGCGTGACGTCCTCACCCAATCTGGGATTACACTCTCGGCAGCCATTCATCCCAATCCGCAACCCCGTTTCAAGCGCCGGAAGCCTCGACGGCGGCATAACCTGGGTTGCAGCGCAAAATTGTTCCCCAAACGCCAGCCCGTTCCATTGACACTATTGCGGGGCTAGGGTATTACTCAAGACGGGCCCACGATAGGAGCCCAGCAACCACTGGAGGGTTTTATCGATGACGACTCAAGTACAGATCTACTGCGTCAAGTGCAAGTCGAAGACCGACTCGCGTGATGTGCAGGGCGTCACCATGAAGAACGGTCGCCCGGCAACCCAGGCGATTTGCGTTGACTGCGGGACCAAGAAATTCAGGATAGGGGCCACTCCGTAGTCGGCGCCGAGCATGCATCCAACGTCTTTCGCTTCCTCGGCATTGCTGAGGCCGAGGCGGCGCGGCGGTTGTTGAGCATATTGTCCGGCACTCATGGGGGGCGCACGGCCCCATAGGCAGGCAAAAGAAAGGGCGCCTCGCATTCAGAGGTGCCCTTTCCTCTTTCTTTGCGCCTCATCATCCACTGCTCGAGCCCGCGAACCACCTAATCACCTTTCCGGCAAACCCCGTCGTCAGACCCTCAAGGTATGCATCCCACGCCAGTTGCTGGTTCCCGGTCGCCAGCGACGGGTACGCCTGCATCGTCCGGGCAATGTCGCCCATCTTGAGCCCGTTATCGTGGGCCAATGACCACGCCTGCAGCGTTTCGGCCGCCTTTTGGCCGACGACCGTGGCGCCTATCACCTCGCCGTTGCTGCGTTGGACGACCTTGACGAATCCCGCGGTGGAGTCCTCGGTCACTGCCCGGTCAATGTGCGTCATCGGCAGCATCGACGTCCGCACCTTGTCGCCGAACCGCTGCCGGGCCTGCTCCTCCGTGTAACCGGAGTGCGCCACCTCCGGGTCGGTGAATGTTGCCCACGGCGGATGCTGCGGTCGTGCCCGGGAGCGACCGGGCAGGAGCATGTTCCGCACCGCCATCGCCCCCTGGAATCCCGCGTAGTGGGTGAACTGGTACCCGCCCGCGCAGTCGCCAGCCGCGTAGATATGTTTCACGTTGGTACGCAGGTAGTCATCGACCGCGATCCCCCGTGGACTGTGCTCAATCCCGGCCCGCTCCAGTCCCAGCCGGTCCACGTTTGCCCGGCGTCCCACCGCGACCAGCAGCGCGTCGCCTTCTATGGACCCACCGCCGGCGTTCACCATGACGCCTTGGCCGTCGCCGCTACGGCCCACCGATTCCACCGGCGACGACAGCCTCAAGTCGATCCCGTCGCGCGTTAGCGCCTGGGCGACGACTTCGCTCGCCTCCGGTTCGTCGTTGGGCAGCAGGCGATCCACTGCCTCGACCAGGGTTACGCGTGAGCCCAGCCGTTGGCAGGCTTGCGCCAGCTCGCACCCGATCGGGCCGCCGCCGATGATCATAAGCCGGTCCGGCAGCGCTCCCAACTCCCAGAACGTCTCGTAGGTCAGGTGCGGCGTGTCGTTCAGTCCCGGAATCGGCGGTATGAATGGCGCCGCCCCCGTGCAAATCAGGGTATGGCGCGCTGATATTTCCTGCTGGCCGACGGCTAAAGTGCGAGCGTCCGCAAACTCGGCGCGTCCCTCGATCACCTCAACCCCTTCAGACCGCAGCGTCTCCGGGGACTCTTGGGCGAAGACGTCGGCTATAGCCCGCCTTACCCAACCCATCACCGCACCGAAATCGACCCGAGATTCGCCGGAAGTGATCCCGTATCGGTTGGCGTCGCGAACTGTGTGCGCGGCCTTCGCGGCGTGCAGCAACGCCTTGCTGGGTACGCACCCCGTCCAGGTGCAGTCGCCGCCAACCCGATTGCCCTCGATGAGCGCCACACGCTTGCCCAGCCGCGCCGCGAACCGCGCCGCCGTAAGCCCGGCAGAACCGGCTCCGATGACGGCGATGTCGAATTGGGCGGTCATGGGGACGCAAATGTGCGGGGACTATTGACTATACGTCCCCGCCTGGTGGGCGGATTAGCGCGGCCCCTTGATCTGGTCAGGCAGCCACAGCGCCAGGTCGGGGAACGCGATGATCAGGCCGATCACCGCGGCCATGCACGCCATGAACGGCAGCACCCCAATGTACACGTCGTTGATGGTTCCCGTTTGCGCGACTTGACCGGTGTCGTCCGCCTCCTGGCGGGCAACGTCGTGTCGCGCTCCCTGTAGCACGTACAGGCTCAATCCTTGCGGCGGGCTGATCTGTGCAGCCTCCAGCAGGATGATCATGATGATCCCGAACCACAGCAGGTCCACCTCCGCAGCCCGCAGCACCGGCGAAAGGATTGGCAGCGTGGTCAGCATCATGGAATACGCTTCCATGAACGTTCCCAGCAGCAGGTAGAACACCACCAGGAACAGCACCAACTGCACCGTGGTCAGGTTGAAGCCGGCCACCCACTCTGCCATGGTGATGGAGATGCGCAGGTAGGCGAAGGCGAACTGGAGCGTGAACGCGGCCATCAGGATGAACAGGATCATCGCCGAGGAGCGGGAGGCCGACAAGCACGCTTCCAGGGTCATGGAGACCATGAAACGGCAGTAGTTCCGGAAACTCTCGCGGTTGAATCGATACTCCTCGCGCCAGCCCTCCAGCGTTGTCCGGACTTCCGGCGACAAATGGTTGGCGACGCCGCTCCGGAGCAGCAGCCCGGCGATGTCGCCCGCGAACAGCCGCACGAAATTGTAGATGATCGCCAGGACCAATGCGCCGGCCACGCCGAACCCGGCTGCTTCCGACGGCGTCGCCCACCCGAAATAGATGCTCCCCAGCACGATGAATATCAGCGCAATCACCGGCACCATCAGCACCGTGAACAGCAGCCGCTCCGTCCAGCCCTGCCAGGTCCAGAACCTTCCCTGCTGCTGGCGTGGCGCGATGGCGGGCCAGATCACCGACGCCACCCCGATCATCAGCATGAACACCAGCGCCAGCAGTATCCCCGGGATGAATCCCGCCAGGAAAAGCCTTCCGATGGACTCGCCCACCGTCAGGCCGTACAACACCAGCAAAATGCTGGGCGGAATGAGGATGCCCAGCGTTCCGCCCGCCGCCAGCGAACCCACCACCAGCCGTTCCTGGTAGCCCTGCGCGCGAAACGACGGCAGCGCCACCCGGCTGACGGTCGCCGCTGTGGCGATACTGGAGCCGGCGCAGGCGGCGAACACCGCGCACGATGCGATGTTCGTGTGCATCAGCCCGCCCGGGATGAAGTCCACCCACCGTGACAGCGCCCGGTACATCAGGTTGGCAAACCCGCCCCGCAGCACTATCTCGCCCATCAGGATGAACAGGGGGATCGCCACCAGGTTGACGTTGGTATTGGTCTCCCAGGCCCGGTTGCCCATGATGTTCCAGACCGGGTTGTCGGAGAACACGTTGAGCAGGATCAGCGCCAATGATCCCAACGCGCCGGCCACGTACATGCCGGCGAAGAACATGACCCCCATCAGGACGAATGCGACGGCGATAAGCATGGGTCGGTCGAATGTCTCTCAGGTCGGGGTTACGGACACACACAAAAAACCCCGTCGCGCGACCCCTTTTAACGACCAGGCACGGAGCTTCCGGTAATGGCGCCGCAGCGACGGGGTGAAAAACCTGCGCCATAGTATCCGACGATAAGGACACTGTCCAGAAGATGCCCCTCCGCCCGCGCTCGCCCCTGCTGCCGATTGCAGCTCGCCCCAGCCCTCACTACGTCCCGGGTGTTCGTGTGTCGCATCGGCAACGCGACAACCCACCTTCACCCGTCATCGCCGCAGTTTTCCAATACAGGCGCCAAACCTTACATGCTAACGTCACCGGTGGCGGCAAGCAGGCGGGGCCGGCCGTAAATTGCCGGCTAGGCCCGACAGCAAGCTGCCCGACACGTGGTCAGGCCGAACAGGCAGCTGCGGCAAAAGCAGACTCGCGATGCTGCGTGTTCGTCATCATGGTCGTGTTCATCCTCATGGTCATGTTCATCGCCGGAGAAGTTCTCCCGGCCTTCCTTGATGAAGAATGGGATCAACAGCAGGGCCGCGACCGGGTCGGCCCACCACCAGGCGAGCAGAGCGTTGAACCCCAGCCCGATCAGGATGGTCAGGTCCTGGAGGTCGCAGAACAAGCCTTCCATCGCCTCGGCTCTCAATGCGCGGGACTGCATCCGGGTGGCGACGCGCATCTTGGCCACGTAGAGGGCACTCATCACGATGGCGCTCGCCACGGCGATACCGACGCCCACCAGGCTCGGCTGCGGTTCGGGCAACCATCCCGCCAGGCTGGCCGCGGAATGTACGGCAACGTAGGCCGCCAGCAGATAGAACGTGAACCCGATCAGCCGCTGCGCCCGCCTCTCCGCCGCCTCTCCCTCATGCCCGTCGCCCTCCTGTCTCAGTCGCCACACCAGGACTCCGCCGGCAAAGAGTTCAACGATGCTGTCCAGTCCGAAGGCAATCAGGGCGACGCTGCCAACCCGGGCGCCGGCCCAGAAAGCGACCACAACCTCAACCAGGTTCCATGCGAGCCCGATGGAAACCAGGACGAGCGCCGTTCGGCGAAGGTCATCGGCTGGAGGCATTCGGTTCGAGTTCTCCTGGGCCACATTCGTCGTGTGGGTCGTTATTCAAGACCCACCGGACAATGGGCAAGCTTTGGATCGAGCGGCCGGAGTGTCCAAAGGGCCGAGTTCGTGAGGGAGGCTAGATACCGTAGCTGCGGAACAACTCGCGGGCCGCCAACTTGTCATCCAGCGAGCCGAAGGCCATGGTGTAGTAGCCCCGGTAGCCGGCGCTTTCCAGCCGTCGGAACATTGCCGGGAAGTCGATGTTGCCCTGGCCCGGCGGCAGGTGCACTTCCACCTCGCCGGTGTTGTCGGCCAATCTCACCTCGCCGATGCGCTCCACGCCGAAGGCGTCGATGAACCCG